GCAAAGTCAAACGAATAGAGAAATGTTTTTCAAAACGCCCATATTGACATTGAAAGCAATGTACCAATTGAAAAGTTGGGACTTCCCAACTCCCAATATGCTCAAAAAATTTGAAGACTTAAGTTTTTGTCCGTACCTCGATGCTGTGCTTTATATCTGCAGTTTTTTTTTAAATAATGTGTTGTATCTGGTCAGTATCTCAGCCTATTCAGTATTGGTCAGCTAATAAGCAGGTACCTTAATGTTTCATTTAATAATTTGCAAATATGCGTTCATGTTTTAAAGCTGTAATTAGTAGTCTCAAAGCATAGGACTTATCGAAAACGCAAGATCTAAAATATTAAAGTAGCTTTGACAAATAATGATATTAATTCTAAGGAAAAGGTTAGTGATGGGTTTGATAGTGTATTCAAATTAAATTTATAGGAAGCAAAGGTTGTGCTGCATTTAATTTTCTTGTAAAAAAAACTTTACAAGAGTCGAGTACTTAAAAGCTTTGGATTGCACGTCCAAGGTGAAGCGTGATATCATTATAACAATGTCTAGACTTTAAAGGTAATCTTCAAATATAGAGTAGAAAAATAAAAGTATTCTAACATTTGAAGGCTACAAACTCAACCTTTGGACACTTATGCCGCACAATTAACTATTAAAAAATATTAATACCGTTAAATAAAAAAAATATTAGATCAGATCACCGGTTTGAACAGGTTTAATACCACTTCACGGAGTTGGGAAGTTCCATCTATTAAATTGCTTTCAATGTCAATATCGGCGTTTTAATAAACATTTCTCTATTCGTTTCACTTTACTGTTATATTTAAAGCACATGACACCAGTTCCTCACCAAATGAATAAACAAGCACTTTTATAATAGGATGACACTGTATAAGCCGAATTTAAATCACTCAATCCCTCCCCTTTACACAAAAACTCCTTGGCCAATCTGTACAATGGAAAAATACACAAATTAAGTTCTCTTCACTTTCTAAGTATTGTCTTATATGTATAGTTTACTACGCCTATAGTATACACCTTATGTATTTTCAACTAAGCATTTTTATTAAATCTGACCTTTTATCCTGGACGCAACACGACTTTGGCGTTATGCTCAGAAGAATCCCTTTTATGACATTTGTGAGATCGAGAGTGGATCGGAACTGCATTTTGAAAAAAAATATTTAACGAGAGTTGACCTTCTGATTCACACTACGTACAATATAAAGCTAAGCATGGATAGTGAAAATATTACAGCACTTATTTCCTGATTTTCATAAAGCTTTCATTGTTGTACATTTTCATATACTGTTTAGTGTTTTGCAGTTTCTTAACTTTTTGTAAATTAAATTCAGAGTTATGTCAGAATTCTAGCCTAAAAAACTTAGCTTAAACGATATGCTTTACAAAACAGTAGTCAATTAAGGTTTCCAAATTAAAGGTTACAAAACAAGAACTTATCGCGTCGGCAGAAATCATGGGAAGTGGTTTGTAAATCTAGGATGAATTTTACTATTTACTGGCCACGCCTAAATTGTTAAGATGATATCAAACTAAAACAATGTATGGAGAGCATCGAGCACACTCATCGTGCGTATGCGTAAATAATAAAAACTCACAATAAAACTAAACTTAGCTGAACAGCTCCAATTCTTTCCGACGGGAAGAAATTTAAATGGTAGATCCCAAGTAAATTATATGTAATAAAACTAAATCGAGGTTTCAATAAATGTTCGAGGGAAGTCGAAAAAGGCGGTATCGCAAAACGAACTAATTGTTAAAATAGCGAAGAATAAGTAGAGAAATGGTTAGTCTAGATAATCTGATCAACAGCATTGCTTGCCCCTCACGTACAGTATACTGTTATTAACTTCTGGTTGCGTCTTAGTCCGGGGGTGAAGGGTGGAAACATTAATCAATTAAGACTTCTACTTAACTAGTGCGAACTCAACAAAGATTGTTTAACATAACGAAATTCAAAATGAAAAATTATGATATTGAAAAAAAAAGTAATATAATTTTTACCTTCAATTTAATCTTTTTTTTTTTAAACAAATTTTACACGTCTAAAAGACATGCGTATGTCCATGGCCCTAACATAAAAGTGGTTAGGATTCTGTGTTGTGTGAAAAAATGATACTCACTCAAGAAGCGAAATTAAGGAAAGAGTGGTATTTTTTTTAAACCACTGTCATTTTTTAAATTAGAACGGACCAATTGGTAAAATGCGAAACTATTTATTACAAACTCATGTCCTTATTTTCAAAATATCGATATTATCATGCACACTTTCATCCTCTATTGCACGTCATCAAATAATAAATTGACAGAAAAAAGTAACACGCTTGTTTTTTTTTTGTTACTAACCGTAAGTTCCTATTTCACTTTTAACTATATTTAAATTTAAACATTATATACAAACTTAGACTTCCACGGAATTTTAAGTAACCTTCGTGCAAAACCTGACGCTTCTAGACGCATCGGATATACCTACCTGTGCGTCGATCCATCAGTCAGTCTGTGAGTCAGTCAGTCATATCATGACAAAGCCTTTTATATACTTAGATAGATTAAGACTAGTATTTATATATTTCTCTATAACAATGTATGTTATATTTTATTATACTATGTAATGCGTTACGCATTATATATCCCAACTGTAATCTATCTAATTAATAATTATATATCATAGGTTTCATTTTCAGAAAATTTACAAAAAAATACCACAAAAACTCGGTCATCCAGGTACTATACCTAAAAAACGACTTAATTTAGTCATCCTACCTAATTTTATCATGCTACCTAAATCTAGCATGTTTACAGGTATTTTTTCACAAATCTACATCTTATATACATAATGTTATCGATATTAAGATTGGATTGTACAGCTCTTAGTATAAATTAAAAATAAATCAGCTGTTTATTGCACATTTCTTTTTTTTTTTTGAAAAAATATCTGTATTTAAATATATTTGAAGTGAAGCTACCTGAATTAGTAGCAACTTTATGTCAATGTGTTTTTTCTTTAGATAACAAAAATTAAAAGCGTTTAACTTTTGCAGTTTAGGTAATACGTGATCTCTTAAGTCAGAATAAAATGCAGCGACGTTGCCAGGTCTTCCGGTTACAACAGAGCAAGCTTATGCGAACTTTTAGTGGGTCAATGCACTTTCATAAGGATAACCAATTTACTGTCTTATAGTACTTTTTTCATTATAATCTGATATTTGGTGGGCTAAAGTGTAATCTAGAGTTAATCTGTTAGAAATATTCCAGATACTGTAAAGTCTTGTGACGTGATAGCGAATGTTACAAGGAGTATTATTTTACCTTACCTTGGTGTAGTGTCATAGCTTGCTTATTACAAATAAATTTATACGTATATAGTTCATTGCCACGTATCTAGGTCAGATTGTATTGTGTGTCCCCATAAGCTCTAGATTTACAATAAGGTCTAAATGACCATTTCATTAATGATGAATTTTATAAAGAAAAACAAGTTCAATATAAATATGGAATAAAACGAATTTTCATTACCATATGCAAATTAGTTTCTCTCAGATAAAAATAATTCTGTCGAGTCTTTTGATCGTACTAGGCTCAAATATTGATTTCGTAAAATAAATGGAAATAAATGTTATCATTTTAAATAATTACATATACTAACTTTTAAACTTTCGCGTTCCATGATAATTAATATTATTTAACGGGAATTAACGCGATCTCTTATTTAGGGTATTACATACCTCTGGTTTGCCTGACGTTTCGACCAGGTTGCACCGGCCGTGGTCACAGGCTGACTGGCTCATCGGCGCACGCCCTCCGTCGTCGAATCCGTGAAGTAGAAGGCTCTTCATCTACCCGCACATTTTCGATATTATTTTTGTGTCGCCATGTACCGTCACATACCAATGGTCGAAACGTCAGGCAAACCAGAGGTATGTAATACCCTAAATAAGAGATCGCGTTAATTCCCGTTAAATAATATTAATTACATATATTTCAGTAATTGAAATATATCGATCAATCATATCAATCAAGAGCGCGGCGAAGATCAGAAAAGTGCTGGGTTAGCCTAAAAATGTTAACTGGCCGCCATAACTTCAGAGATTACTTACACATACTTTAATAACATAACGTACTTCTGTATGTCTGATTTAAATGACTATGAACAGAATAACATTAAATCCGTAGGTAAGATGGCGTAGTTATAAAATTACTAATCTAGTCTGATTAGTATGTGAGTGAGATCGCTGGGCCAAGACAAGAGATTGGCTACTGACTTATGATACCTACTCACATCTTACATTACAGTTGATTTCTCCATATTCTCGAATTAATTGTAAATGATACATTAACTCGTTTTAGAGCACATAAAAAATCGACAAATTAAGACAAACCCAAAACACAAATATAAAAAAAGATTGATGTACTTAGACGATATTAAAAATTTTCGCAAAAGTGTACCTAATATTTCGTTCATTTGATGATTGTAGTTTTTTAGCAGTGGACCACCTGTATTACTATACAGGTTGTTCATTTTTACGCTACAAATTTCAAGAATTGATAGATATTACATGCAAGTAACTTCTTAGTTAGTTATTTCAGTGGCCTTACTCAAATAAACAGTATGATTATAAATCACGGCCGTTTATACATCTGTTGTTAAATGTGTTAAATTGTTTCAATCGCCGTTTCTCATTGTCATTTTGTAGCCTTCAAACTCTTCGTCTGTTTAATGAATTTGTCTCCCACAATGAGAAGTCAATTGACACCAAAACTTACTACGATATGATACTGTTATCACGTGCTGTTATCAGCGTCTACCGATCGATATGAATATTTTCGCTGAGATTGGGCCATGAGGCACTTTCACCGCCGTTACACGCGTTTTCTAGCGAAACACCGAACTCAATTATTAATAGCAGCCTATTTTTGGAGCGGCTTCGGACGCGGATTTGCGCTCGGGCGTGTGCGAGGCCCGGGCGAAGTCACTATCTCACCTGGGCCAGGTGTAGACACCGGAAACTTCGAAGCCGTAGTGCCAGGAGCCGGCATAAGCTCCTTGCGCTTTGGGTCCTGTACACACACCATGGCCGTGGGCCTTGCCGTCTTCCCATCCACCACAATATGTACCACCATCGTCAAAGTCGAAACGGCCACCGTTGAGGCCACGCTGCGGGGGGTTACCGCTAGCGGCGTGCGCGGCGTCGGCTAGCTCGCTCGGCTGCATCACGCGAAACCGTGGTGCCGCGGAGGGGAGGGCCTCCCGCGCGCACCCTCCACCGAGCTCGCGGTATAAATAAACATCAGCTGGGCATGTCGCGCCGTGGCGCGCCGCCGAGTGAACACCACTCCGGTCCTGCGCGAGGAGCACTGCGCGCTGAGCCGCGGCGCGCCGCCCGCCCGCGCGCCCCGCCCGCCCTGCGCACTGCGTACAGTCCGTCCGCAGCCCACCGATGAGCCGCGCCGCCACACTGTCGCCACAACAACTTACTTATTGCTTTCCTATATTACTTGGCCCAAATGAATATTATCACAACTTGAAGTGACGTGTGTTGCGTTTAGACGTAGTTAGAAAATTACACTCACACAGATTGGACAGAGCAATAAAATTTAAGTCTTCCTTTCTACCGTACACAAGGGTGCCGACAACTATCTGTCTACGTTAGTAGGTCAGTTACTGATCTTTAGGTTTATATCATTACTACGAAAGAGATGCCAAGTTTTTTTAAATTTGTTGTTCTTAAATATGATCTTAAAGAATGTCGGAATTGGGTTGCTTTTAGCACAATTTCGAAATTATTTTAAGGAGTTTAAGTATTTTGTGGATGAAGTACGTATTTGGACCATATTCTGATATACCACGCAAATAGCTATTTCATAATTCTTATAAAAATTAAATAAATGAGAGAGACGGTGAAATTATAAAAAATCTTGCTTAGAATTGTGTAAGGAAAAACTTTCACATGGCCAAGCTTCAAACTTTATCTATTGTCACATTTTTATTATTGTCTACTAGCTATTGTCCGCAGCTCGCGTGATTATCGCTTATTTCATGTTTCCAACTTCAAAAGTGTCGAACTTACAACAGTTTTGCTCTTATTTTAACCCCTTCGGGGAAAATGTATGAAAATCGTTCCTAAGTTGGTGCTTACAACATAAAAGTTTTAAGTTGGCAGTCCCAACGGTTCAGGCTCTGCGTTGGTGAGTCAGTCAATCAGTCAGTCAGTCTGGGCAAGTAATTTTATTTGTTTAGATTGGTGTTTGCGATAAAACGTTTATATCTTTATCCTAATGGTTTGTCCAATAACCAAACGTACCTTTCAGCCCCGTTTTTCGACATCCCATATCCAAGACCTGCGATATTTCCTACTAACGATAGCGTACGATACTACCACGGAGTAGAGTAGTGGTTTGAGCGGTCACCTCGCCGCTTGCTACTGCGCTAAGGGTTGTGGGTTCGATCCCTCCCTATCCGTTTGCCTTACCAATTTGCCTTCGTTTCTTGTCCTGTCTGAAAATGATTATGTCCCAAGATTAGGCGTCAAGTAGGCGATCGGTCAAAAAGTAACCAGCCAAAACCTTTTCAAAGTTAGTTAATTTTTTCAAAGAGCAGACCTTTATTAGAATGGTACTGTATCTATGCTACGAACTGTTTTATTTTTTTAATGTTCGTTTTATTCATCTTTGATGTAACTGCGTTTAATTTTGTTTCACACGCATTACAAAATGGCTATTACTTGGTTGACTAAGATATGTTATAATTAAATAAACCTCTTGTGAATGCACTCTTAATTAACATTGGTAATACCAGACGGGGGTAAATATTCGTTCTTTTTAATTCTTTAGTTTCTGCGTCATTCACGTCCTGCAGAAATGAAATTCTCTTTAAATTAAATATATCCAAATTAAATTGTTCTAAAATACTCAATTATTTAAATCAAGTAGGTAAATGACATACTGTTCATTTTTAAAGATAATGCAGAAGTAAAAAGAGCGAAGAATCACCCACATTTTTTAGAATATTAAAATGTTTATTAGAACCATAGACTCTTAGAAAATTGAGGGGCTCGCGGCTGTAGTAACCGAATAGGTTTGACATTGCAAAGTTCAGTAGTTCTAGCCAGATCAGTGTATGGATGGGTGACCATTATTAACACAGTGAGACCCCTCCGAGCCTCAGCGAGCACTTTAAGCCGTCGGTCTTGATTGTCTCACGTACATCTGTGGCAATCGTTACGAGTAGTTGGAGCCCAAAAAAGTTCGACAACAGTCACCGTAACATCAGTCAGTGATCTTAATCTTTATTTCTTTAATAAACGTTAATAAAACAATTAAATTTTCTGATTACGTCGTTCATTTCATTTCAGATGCTGTCACCTCTCCAGTTTGTCCTTCAAGTACAACGAAACGTTATGCGTAACTGACAAAAAGTTTAGATAGCTTTAAAAAAAACGTTTAAAATCATTGGATTTTTTTATCGCAAAAGGCTGTTGAATGGATTTTTTTGGAATTTTCAGATCAATTTTAATGAATAATGAAAATGTATGCAAAAAGAAACAACAAAAGTTGTTACATTATAGTTGTTACATACATTTTCAGTAAAATCTGGACAATTCATCAACATACATAGTCTAAATCCTCATATTTAAGTACATTAATGTCAAAGCTATCTTACTCGAAACATTAGAATTATAAGTCAATTTTTTAATTCAATTTGTCACTTACAAATTATTAGTCAATTATTAGCCAATTTTTTAATTTAATTTGTCACTTACAAATTATAGTATCCGTATGAAAAATCCTGGTTTTGAAATGTCCTAATGACGTGCGGCGCGAAACACAGTCATATTTACAATAAAATTGCTGGTTTTTCACCGAGATAATCCGAGTAAAAGTATTAGTTAAAAAAATACTTTGGAGTAATCGGTTCCTGGCAAGTTATTGATAAAAAACAGACAGGTGCGAAAACCCGGTTTATTGAAAAAAAATCCGGACAAGTGCGAGTCGGACTCGCCTACCGAGGGTTTCGTACACATTTGCAGGTACATATTATAAATAGATCAGGAATCGAATCCCGCAGTTTTTCTGAGCTTTGCCCGAAATTCAGTTTCTAAAATTACTTATATTCTTGAGTTTTATAAGAGGAATTGTACCTCGATAATTGATTATGTACTTTAAATAATGACTATATTTTTTTGTGATTTATTTACAAATTTTTCACTGTACTAAGACGATGTTATTTGCCAAATTTTAGAGTTATAGGTCAACGGGCCGTATCTTTTTTTTACGTGAACTTAGGAGTTGCATTTATTTATAGTTTCAAGGGACCATAAATATAAGTATTTGGTTTTAATTTCAACTCGATACCTCTACGCGTTCCCGAGGGTCTTGACAGACAGATAGACGGAAGTTTTGAGGTACAGAACCCTAAAAAATAGGGATTTTTAGAATGGAAAAACAAAAATAGGAGGTTATAGTGTGAGAAAAAACGAAGAAAATGAGTTGCTGTAGTCTTATTCGTTAGAAACTTGACGGCAAAACACGCTTTTATCTCAAAAACCATGATTCTCCGCCCTTCGATTTCCCAGCTTGTGTGAATCGCAAAATAACATAAAGTTGCCGCACAATTTACGAAAATGTAAAAATAGGTGCTTCGGAAAAACCGTCCGCGATCGGTAATAAAGCATCCTAGGACATTCTAAAAAAATATATATATTTTCATTAAGTGTTGCCCTACAACCTCTGCATATTTATAAATCTTCCAGATGCATGACAGAGCCGTGAAATACCAGAAAATCAAGCGATTTTTTCCGCAAGCGCTTATAGTAAGCAGCAGATTGGGCGAATTTCGGGTTAAAGAATTAGTGTGAAAAAAGTACTTTAAAAAAAAATTGGTTCGTGGCAAGATTGAAAAAAAATCGAACAGGTTAAAAAAACCGGTTTATTGAAAAAACAGGGAAAAACAATTCTGATGGCAAAACAAAAAATAGGAGGTTGTAGTGTGAGGAAAAAACAAGAAAATGATAGTTCCTGAAGTAAATTTCGTTAGAAACTTCACGAGAAAACATGAACAAAACTTGAAACGAACCAATCCAAAGTATTTTTTTAATTAATACTTTTACCCGAATTATCCCATTAAAAAACTAAATCAAAGACTTTTGTTTTTTTAATATGAATTTATTTTGCGCCGCACAGCTTGTACTAAAAACTGTTATCGCTTTACGTTATTTACGGGGTCCATACACTTGGCGAGGCTAAAATATGGCTATCAACAAACTTTTTGTTAAGATACAGCAAACTCTATTCCTAGAGGGAATGGTAGGGTTTTATTGTTTTAGGCAGACTTTATGTCAAAAGGTGGTGCAGTCAAATGAATTCAAGAGTGGATCAAGGGGGGTCAGAGATGGCATGACGCCCCTGGACTCTGTCTACTTCATACAATTTCAAGTAGGTATGTAATTAAAGTGAAGCTATGATGTTGAGAGAGAATATTTAGTAACTGTATAGATGCTCTGTACAGGTAATAGTTGGTAATACGATTAACCTGCTCTTGCCTCCTGCGACTAGTAAAGACCCCGGGAGGTGAGAATTTTTTATAATTTAAGGGGCTATTGCCAGATATTACTAAATCTTTTAATTAAAACAAGCATCTTATAAATTACAGCCACGCAACAAATGCAGCTATGCCTAGGAAAATCTAAACATCTACCTGCTAGGTTTGTACATCTGTTGAGGTCAGAAGCGTTCTTATTCTAATAACTATAGATACTTGCATGTGTAAAATAATGGATGTTTAAAGTCACTGTTTTTTTTTATTGGAAAATGATTTTAAAATACATTTGCATCAAGAATTTATATCGATAAAATGATGCAATACTTTTTTATCGCTACTTATGTCTCATTCATAATATTAGTTCCTCGGCCCTTCACATTGTTATCAGCACCAAAATAGCTAAAATTAAAGTTACTTGTATAATATATGTATATAAATATCAGTGACCATAACCAAGGCTTTCGGAATAAACAGATTTTGGATTTTGACACTTTTTATGTGTTTAGCAATTTTCAAAACCTCCAATGACAAATATTTGAATAGCTCTACAAGGTAGATAATAACTTGCAGGGACATAATTGTTACTTTTAGAGGCACCTCGACTCCTTGTTGTTACGTAGAAACATATTCTTTAGTTGTATTTAACCGCCGCCTTCATAAATTCTTAAGGTTAGGTACCACACTTTACCTTTTCTGTCCATAACCATACTTGCAGAATTGATTTTTTCCCCCTATGCTGCAATCAGTTTCAAAGAAATTGAGAAGAAAGAAATAAAGAAGAAAGAGAAGAAGAAGAAATATAATATAATATTTTTATTTCATCAATATTTTCAGTTTGAGTTGAGTTGAGTACTAGTACAAGTTTTTTTTCTTTTTTTACCAAACAAAACCAAAAACCACACGCCGTCTCGGGTACCGGTTGCCGGGGAACCAGGTGTACCCAAGGAAGGAAATCCCTGATACCCCGACGAACCTCGGGCCATCTACGGCGTGTAGATGACCCCCTTCTGTGTGTTAACCCCTATGGGACATAGGAAACTTGTGCTCCTGAAAGGGCGGGTACGCTCCGCAACGCGTCTCGCCACCACCCCTAACCTGCTCTTGCTAGGGTGTCAGATGGCCTCACCGGCCGTCCGTTCCCTCCTAGGTACCTATCTAGTTAATTTAGACAGGTAAAATTCTAGTACTTAGTACCTAGCTACTTTTTTTTCTATCTACCTAGACAAATGCGTTTTCTCCTATTTAGAATTAATGCTGTGTGTGTTTCTATAACAGTTGTTTTAGGCGGTATGTACGTATAAGTAGATAAATGGCTTAAAATACACTAGATTTCAGTATACAATCGAAAATTTAAAATGATAGTTTGAAATTTGATTTCGATTACGGTTTCAGCCGAAACTAAAACAAGGGCCAAAAGTTCGGTTTGGGGTCGGGTTTGGTTGAAAACCCTGTTTCGATCGGGCACTAATCACTACTAATATGAATATCAGAATTAATTTAAGACTTTAAGACTATTATTAATTTATTGTATTTATTACAACTGTAAAAACTTAGGTAAGAGAAGGAAAACTTGAAACAAACCCTATACCAACCCGTCTGGCCAGCGTGGTATAGTAGGCCAAAACCTCCTTTCTAAGGAGAGGCCTATGTCCAGCAGTGGACTAGTATAGGCTGTTGATGTGATGATGATTACGACTGTTACTCTGTTATAGAAACAGGAAAGTCCTGAAACAGACTCTTAGGTTGAGCAAGGTATTGAAAAATGTGAATATTTACTCCCTGGTTAGGTAATAATACATGTCTTAGTGTATCTGTCCGTCTTGTCCATATGGTGACGGATTAAGAATACGGAATGTCACCACCCCTATTCATCCCGTGGGTGTCGTAAGAGCCGACTAAGGGAGCAAACTACGCAGGACGACAGCACTGCTAAGAGAAGGAAAACTTGAAACAAACCCTATACCAACCCGTTTGGCCAGCGTGGTATAGTAGGCCAAAACCTCCTTTCTAAGGAGAGGCCTATGTCCAGCAGTGGACTGTTATAGGCTGTTGGTGTAGTGTAGCTGATAAACTAAGGGTAACACCGAGCGGCACAGCTAGTCGTAAAATAAATCGTGTCATAGTCATAAATAAAATCGGTATTCTAGTAAAAATGACGAAACAGCGAGGCTGTTCCAAGAAAATATTGATTTACTGAAAATATCATCCAACACGAAAGATAATGCAAAACTGAACTCCGCAATTTACAGCTAAAACTTATTCCAAAACTTTACAACTTGTAACTCGAGTATCGATAATAATCGCTGGTTATGACGCACTAACTATCTTCATAATTTATTTTGCTCAACAATGGCTACGTGAATGGCCTGCTTTATTTAATAATAAACCTGGCAACTACAACTTTAACTGATTATTTGACAAAGATGTACCGACTTGACAAGAACACGACGCGATTTAACTCGAGTTAAAACTCATGTATCTATTAATTAAGTGAATCCATATTTGTAAAAATATGCCGATTAAATTATTGACTGTACAGAATTTCATCCATCGATAATTTTCATTAAAAAATTGACAAGACATTTTTATTTGAATAAACAGGTAGGTACTATTATTATGTAAATATTTATTTATGAATTTAGCTTCAGTAGTAATCAGTAGGTAGATACTTGGAGTTAATAATGAACTAGTTATGTATCAGTTTTTCATAAAATAGGTAGGGTAATTATCAATAATTTAAATATTACAATCAACATATTCATAAACATTTGATATTATAAAATGGTAAATATAAATTAATTCGTTAGTAGTTCGTAAGTAGTAATATATCTTCGTATCTTCGTCTTCATTATTTTATTCAACCAATACGTTGAAATGCACCTAGAGATGTATCATCGGATTTTGGAAAACTGTTTCCGTAATTACCCTAATATTGGATCTCGAATTTAGTTCAAAAGTATTTCCTGTATAAATAAAAAAGAAATCTTAATTAACGAAAAGCAAACAAGCCTTAACTGGAATTAAGAAAATTTGAATTCAATCGAATTTCAAATTGGACTTGGTAACTCGAGTGAGTTGGTCACTCGAGCACCAAGTCTATTTGACATCATTACAATTTGACGTTGACATTATTTTGATTAGATGGAAATGTCACATTTAGAAAGAACTAGTCACAAAATCACAACTAGTGATGCGCAAAATGTATCACTGAGCTGAAAAGATTGATACATATCATTTCGCTCAAAAGATATATATCACTCATCTAGGTCACTAGCTCATTTAGCTCACTAACTCATTTAGCTCACCAACTCATTTAGCTCACCAACTCATTTAGCTCACTAGCTCATTGATCCGATTCAATTGATTGGTCTCTCAATTAATTTATTTCTTCATCTAAGCCTTTAAGCCACTTTAAGCCTCTCTCGCCATACAAACCTTTCTTTATTTTCATATTAACCTAAATTCAGTTTTTGAAACTACATTCTTAACCTTTTCTTTTAAATAAAATTTATTCATTTTGATAAGATTACATAATTATTAACACCCTTTTATACAATATTTAAAAAAAGAAATTATTTCTTGTACTTTTTTTAGGTTGTATAATAGAATCCATACATAATTTGATTTTCCTTGTACTTGGCAGGCTTAATTCTTAAGTAATATTAAACTTTGATCCTATAGAAATAATGTACATTTTGCATAAAGAAACTTGCGTGAACTCAACCATCATCTATCTCACTCATTTATCTTTAGTCTCACTCGCTCATGAAACAAAGATCGGCGTCGTTGAGCTAGTGATCTAATGATCTAGTGAGCTAGTACTGAGTTACTGATAGAGTTGTGTAGCTCCTGAGTGAGTGATATAAAAGATATATATCATTCACGACGATAAAATCTATCACTCACTCACACTTGCTCCGAATATATCAGTAACTCACTACTAGCTCACTAGATCACTAGCTCAACGCCGCCGATCTTTGTTTCATGAGCGAGTGAGACTAAAGATAAATGAGTGAGATAGATGATGGTTGAGTTCACGCAAGGTTCTTTATGCAAAATGTACATTATTTTTATAGGATCAAAGTACAAGGAACATCAAATTATGTATGATTTCTATTATACAACCTAAAAAAAAGTACAAGAAATAATTTCTTATTTTTAATTATTATATAAGAGGCTGTTAATAATTATGTTATCTTATCAAAATGAATAATTTTGTATTTAAAAAAAATAGGTTAAAAATGTAGTTTCAAAAACTGAATTTAGGTTTATAAGAAAATAAAGAAAGATTTGTAAGGCGAGAGAGGCTTGAAGTGAGTGATATACAAGTATACTGAGCTAAACGATCTAGATGAAGAAATGAATTAATTGAGAGACCAATCAATTGAATCGGATCAATGATCTAGTGAGCTAAAGGAGTTAGTGAGCTAAATGAGCTAGTGAGCTAGATGAGTGATATATATCTTTAGAGCGAAATGATATGTATCAATCTTTTCAGCTCAGTGATATATTTTGCGCATCACTAGTTACTGATATATTCGGAGCTAGTGGGAGTGAGTGATACATTTTATCGTCGTGAATGATATATATCTTTTATATCACTCATTCAGGAGCTACACAACTCTAATCACAACCACAATTTGGAAGATACAAACACAGCGATAGGACTGTTCTGATAGGCGTTGTTTCGTGTGACTTTGTTTTAATATTTAATCATAATTATTCTCAGTTATAAGAGTTTACCAGTAATTGAATTTAATAATGTGACTATATATTTTATAACTCGGAAGCTTTATTCTTTTGTACAATATAAACAACTTTCCAGTTTCTCGCCTTGTACTTATACATTAACAACAAAGGATTATAAAAGGCGTGCACAATGTAATAACTTGACATTTAACATTATATATTCATCAAATCAATGTTTATATTTTTATGGTGGCATTTTTTTACCTCAGCGTCGAAAATGGAAAACTCAGAGGCTGGTGGGAGCAGCCGCCTGACCCAGGTGCCACCAACGTCTTGGCTCCATCCAAGCAATAGAATACATAGGTTTTTAGCACTTCTGTTAATGTGCTTTCTTTGTTTTGGTAAGTATTATTACTTTTAAATATTATGTGATGATAATATACCCTTATCCATAGTAATTTACCTACATATATCTATCTATAGCAATATAATTCTTATATTATTAGAAATGTTATAGCAATTCCAACATTTTTTTTCTAATAATATAGTGTTAAAAAAAGTGTTTCTTTAGAATCAGAACAATCATATAAATAAGATTATATATCCTCATAGACTATATTTTGAAATTTTTCATTTTATTTCAGGTTCCTACTTCTGCTATGACTCACCAGGGGCTTTAGCAGACAATTTTAAAAATGATTCACATTTGAACACATCGCAATTTGCATTACTGTATTCTATATACTCATGGCCAAATGTGGTGTTATGTTTCATTGGCGGTTATCTTGTTGATAGGTATGTTTTGTATGGTCCTTATCAAACACTTTATTGTATGTCAACAAATCATTAACATTTTATGTTATCAATGTAATACACTGTTTGTATCTGAAATGAGCATTGCCTTGCAATTAGACTCTTGATTAACCCCATATTCCAGTTTTGTATACTTTATTTTCTAAACATTCTATATATGGAATAATCATCCATACATATAAAATTACTTGCCCTGACCAAATGATTCATCAATGTAGAGCCTAAACTTCTGGACCTACAACAACAAACTTGAAATCTTCACAGCTAATGTTAAAATTTTATGTTGTAAGCACCCTTTGTCTAAGACAGATTTTTTAGATATTTCACCTCTAAGGGGTATCCAACTACTTAGTATGTACATTTGTATATGTACTTTTAATAACATTAAATATTTAATTAATAAGATACTTATCAGTAGCCATTTATATACACATATTTAAATGCACATATTCCATCACAGTTTCTATGCATGTATCACAGTCTGCTCCACATAACAGAATGTTTACATTATCTGTGACCCTATTTAGTTTAAAATTATACACACCTAACATTATTATTTTGATGATGTAACAAATTCACAAGATCTCTAACTTTTGTATTAATTATTGCATTTTAGTAATGCTTGGAACAAATTAACTAATATGAAAAATTTTGTTTTCAGATATTTTGGTGTTAGATTGGGTACTGTAATATATATGACTATTGTATTTGTAGGAGCGGTACTATTTGCCTTAGGAGTATATATCAACACTTATTGGCTAATGATACTTGGCAGATTTGTGTTTGGGTAAGTTTTCACTACCAGATATAAAGGACATACGAGTATTATATTTATCCTAAATTTGTGCACACAGCAGATTTATCCTAAATTTGTGCTGAGAAAATGAAACCTTTAGAGGTTTTACACAACAATAGTTCTTAAATAACCAAGGTACACAACTAGACTTGAAAAATAAGGCTTCTGCAGCCTCATTGACTAGCAATGGTATCCCAAGATTTACTTAACTAAATATTTACAAATTACATCATTATAGGTCCACTCCCACATTGGAATTTATAAATAAATTTCTAAAATCACTTTATGATACACACAGTTTTTTAAAATGCCCATTCTTTCTTATTAACAGTAGATAAAGAAATAAATATACATAAAACTATAACTGACTATAACAATATGCTTGAGAAGAAACACTGTTTCTTTTAGATAAAAGTAGATAATTATGAATATTTTTAAGTAGGCGAAAAGGTGACGAGTACTACAACACGGCGCTCGTAAAGGACACATTAGGTTCATACGAACTAAAACCTGTGCTTATATAGATCTGCTGCACTAAAATCTGTGTCTAGGACCACAGCTTTACAATAACGCAAAAAAATCATACCATTTGCTATGCTATGACGACTACTCAAGTGACACTGGTATACGGACGGACGAGAGTTTGTTTTGTTTCTTTCTGGTAACGAAAATAATAACATACTTGACAATTTATTTAGTAAAAACCCCGTATCATGTTTTACCGACCGGCCGACCGTTTATCTGAGTCCTCGCCTGCGCGGTAACAAAGGCGCGGGGGTATGAGGCCAAATGGACTGAGACAGGTGCGAGCGGCGGGCGAATTTTTGTAATCGCTCATTTCGATCGCAACGCGGACAACGATCGCACGTGTTAATTGTTGCGGACGCCTTGTGAGAGACACACACATGTGATAACAATCTCAAGATGAATCGTAGGATCTTCGGTCATAAAGTGAATAGTCAGTGCAAGCAAATGGCTTTAAACGTGTACGAATATTTTAGGAAAAAGAAACTGGACCCAAATTCTGTTGAATATCAACAAGACATATATTTAAACAAAATCGTAGCAGAAGTTATTGGACTATCGGAAAAGAGTGTATCTAGAATCGTACATCAAGGGAAATTATTGAAAGACAACGAAAGATTCAAATCACCGAAAAAATCAAAACAGGTTCGCAAAAAAAGAGTAGAAATAGACGATTTCACAAAAGGAGTGGTAAGAAGAAAAGTCACTCAGTTTTATACAACAGATAAACGGTCGGCCTATATAAAGGATACACAAATGACAGCTACATGATTTTTTACAAACAAATTATATTCTTCAGGCAGAGAGCGGTCTTGGCTCACGGACGCATTTAAAGGTCGCCCTAAATCGGTTGTTGTACCTCAAAATATTGATGCTGTGCGGGAACTAATAATGCAAGATCGTTATGTTACATATCGCGAGAAAGAGGCTTCTCTGGGAATAAGTATGACGAGTATATATAAAATATTACACGAACATTTAGCTGTAAAAAATTTGTTCACTTTAGATTCCGCACAACTTGAGAATTAAAAAAGTGTTACAAAAGTACAATGAGGGTGCGTTAAAAGCTGTCTATAGTATCTACACAGGTGATGAATCTTGGATATATGCATATGATCCTGAAACTAAACAACAATCAACGGTTTGGGTGTTCCAAGATGAGCCGAACCCAACAAAAGTCATTCGTTGAAAAAGCACTTAGAAGCAAATGGTAGCTTCTTTGTTTGGTAAAAATGTTTATGGGGCTACAGTGCCACTAGAGAATTTAATTCTGAATGGTACACGACCATTTGTTTGTCAGAAGTTTTTGAAGAAATAAGAAAGAATACGTGGCTGTTGATGCGTTCAAAATGCACGTTTTGGAGATACCACAATCAGAATGGAAAAAGTGCTACGAAAATTGGTTCTAACGTATGTAAAAGTATATCGATCATAACGGCGAATATTTTGAAAAGCTATAAAACTATAATAAATGCTATATGTTTGTTTCACTTTGTTATTCCGGATACATAAATAGCAGACCGCGTATAATAAAGCTGGAAAAAAATGAAATCCATATCGTATACCCCCTTCTATTAAACCTCTAGGGTTAGCTTGTGTCATCCGAAAGATCAGCTGTCTGGATCTAAGGGTTGCACATCATAAGACGTTAGCCTTTTGGTTCCACAGGACACGCAGAGGTGCAGTTCCCACCCGCTCGCTCATTAGAGTGGGGGTATTAGAGGTCGAGGTCGGTAGGCACATCAAATACCTTGGCCTCACTCTGGAGCTTCGAGGAGCATTTCGGCGGATGATCCCCCGAGTTCGCGGGGCGGCGGGCTTCCTACAGAGGCTGTTGCCTGCGGTGATACGATCCATGGCCCTCTACGAAGCGTTGATATGGGCCAAGCTTCGATATCCGTCTCCTCCCGCTGCCGAGCTACGCTCAATCAAGCGCAGCGGGTAGCAACCATTCGGATCTTACGGGATACCGCACGATTTCAGGCGATCGGAGGCGGCGACAGTCCAGTTTCCCGCCTTTTGATATCCTGGCGGATATTGACGCAGCCGACTGGGACTCGTGAGACTGCCCCGCGTGGGCGTCTAAACGCGAAGTCCTGGTTGACTAAACCTTCAAGACCAGTCCCCGCCAGCATGGCAGTAATGATTGCTGGCGGGGACAGGTCTTGGAAGTTTGGTCAGGACTGGGCGCAGTGGTCTCTTTTTGTGAAGCTGTTATGCTCCAGAAAGAGACCGCTGAACGGTAGAGGGCCGATCCTGAGGGAAGAAGACCGCGGGCTGCCAGAGAGTAGGGATCTCTGGTGGCAGACGCTCTTAGCTGCTTTAGGGCGGCGAATATTTAATAATGAATAATTATAGGATGGCGAAATAGAGCCTAGTTGGGTGCGGCGTCGATCTGGAGGGGGGGGGGGGGACCTGAAATGATATGGCCCGAGTTCTCCTAGAGTCGGGGTGGTTCTAAGTGGAAACACCACATCGCCTGTATCCCTAAGAAGCCGGAGATCCGAAGGTATTTTTCACCGTCACAAAAAAAACACCTGGAAGAAAATGATTTTAAACGAGGCGATGTTTAATTTCAAACATACTAATAATTGCTCGCTTTTTTTTAATAAAACACAAAAATAACCTTACCCACTTTAGATATTTTAGAAATGGCTATATTCGTTAAAACAAATCCAGTGTTGCCAAATGTAGCCATTGTGATGAGTTATACGAGGGAGCGTTTTTATGTTCGCGGAATGGGGGATAAGGGGTGGAAATAAAAAAACCAAATTATTTTTCCTTTTCAATATATTCACCTGCAAGACGCATACATTTTTCAGATCTTTCAATTAATTTGTTTATATACCCTCATAAAAAAATGTTTTGTCTTTGTCTTCAAAATACGCCGAAACTGCCTCCTTGACTTCATCATCGTTGGTAATTTTTTTACCCCGCAGCTCTTTTTTAATTTTTGGAAACAGATAATAATTGGTGGGGACCAGGTCTGGGCTGTAGGGTGGGTGATTCAAAATATCGAAGCCCACCTTATGCAGGGCAGCCAACGCAACGCGGCTCTTGTGGACGGGCGCTTGTCGTGCAAAAGCAAAACACCTTTTGTCAATTTTCCCCGTCTTTTCTCTTTAATGACTTCTTTGAGTCACTCTAATATTGAAGCGTAGTATTCTCCGGTTATAGAAACACCTTTATCTTAATAATCGATCAATAATATTCCTTCTGAGTCCCAAAAGACCGTTGCCATGAGTTTCCCAGCTGACAGTGACACCTTAAACTTCTTGGGAGGTGCTGTGCCCTTTTTATGCCACTGCATGGAGTCTTGTTTCGACTCAGGTTCATAATGATGAATCCAAGTTTCGTCTCCAGTAACAATTCTACTCAATACAGCATCCTTGTCTTCATTACAAAGGTATAAAAATGCACGTGAACACTCTACGCGTTGTTGTTTTTGCGTCAGCGTGAGCATTCTCGGCACCCATCTTGCGCTGACCTTTGTCATGCCAAAATGATCGTGCAGAATTCTAAAAATGGTTGTATCAGATACTCCAACCATTTCTGCGAGTTGTTTCTTCTTTAGTCGAGCATCGTCGAGTACAATTTTTACGACTTTTTGGATAAGTTCTGTCGTGATCACCTCGATGCTCCTGCCCGGCCTCGGGTCGTCTTCAAGAGATTCCCTTCCTTGTTTACATAAACTGTGCCATTTTGTTTTTCCTGGACAAGAGTCGCCGTAAACCAATGACATCTCATTCATTATGGTCGCAGCTGATTTTCCTTGCTTGGTAAGGAACTTTATAACGGCACGATATTCGATTTTTTCCATGTTTCACTTTTCACTCCCGATTATGTTGCTTGGTTGACGATAACTCAAAGACTAATTGTCTAATAACAATGAAACCTGGTATTTATACTAATTATGAGTCACTGAACACGTGACGATTCTAATGAGCCTAATCACCTCCAACCCTCTCATTCCGCGAACTTGAAAACGCACCCTCGTATATAGAAGCACCTTAAGGAAACAACGTCTTTGATATTGCCCGTTCGATATCGTACGATATAAATTATCACAGTCTTATAAAATTCAAGTTTACTTAAGATAATGTGGAAATCGTCAATTACCATGAATGTATTTTCTTACACAACTTTCAAATTATTACAAAATACATGTACATATTTGAGACCCTCACATCAAGCAAATATTCAACCTATCAGCATACAGTTTAGGTATATTAGCTTACCCACATTATTTTTTTAAATCACCATTACCAGGACTATTTCAAACACTTTATTATTGTAATATTTGTAGATATACAACTATTCTTATAAAACTTAATTGGCAAATAAGGTCTCTGTCAGAAACGCAAGATGATGTATATTACAAAAGAAAGGAAAAATAGCACTATGCAAACACGATGATTTAACCTCATTTAATAAGTTTCACGATCTGTATTTCTAACGATTCTCAGCCGTGCGGATCTCTTTCCAGAAGAAATCTGCTATATTTGACGTCTTTACAACATAATGAATTAAATATAAGAATAATAGTTATTTATATGGGTGTACAAAATACAGATTGGTAGAGTCAATATATTAGTAGATCAACACGATAACGATGTGTTTCTGGAGCGTAAAATTATTAGGTATGTAATTTAAATACTCACACTACCTACTTAGTAACCTTTGTTACAGAATAGGGGGAGAGTCGCTGCAAGTTGTTGTGAACAATTATGTCGTACTTTGGTTCAAAGGAAAGGAGCTGAACATGGTATTTGGACTACAACTGTCCTTTTCACGATTTGGTAGTACTGTTAACTTCTGGGTGATGGAGCCTGTTTACAAATGGGTTGCTAACTATTATTCTGGATATGAACAGTTGGGGGTGACATTGTTTCTTGGTTGGTGTCATTCTTGTTATTATTTATCGTATACATATATCATGCTTAACATATCATTGTATTGAAGTAATATGTATTTTCAGCATCACTAACCTGCTTTATCTCCCTTATTTGTGGTGTGATTCTTGGCTGGATGGATTATAGAGCTGAAAAGATACTTGGAAGGCAAGATGAGTCACAAAGTGATGAACCTGTTCATCTTAAGGATATAAGACATTTCAAACCAGTATTTTGGCTATTGTCTGTAATTTGTGTTTCTTATTATTTGGCCATATTTCCATTTATCGCCTTGGGAAAGTAAGTATCTATGTTTAGGAGTCTGCTATCATTTTAAACATTATTTTCAATTAGTGTTTATAGTTCCTCGCTACAGTTTGTATACTAACGAAAAAAAAACTATGAGGTCTTTACTTCCACAGATAATAGTACTTACTTTTCGTTTTTCGCGAATGATAAAATTTTGCGCGCAAACTTTCATATCTTATTTACATATATTCAGCCTGTTAGAAACACTTTGAAAACATAAAATGAAATATAATACTTATGTTTAAATTTATTGCTGCCATCTGTCTGTTTTGTGTGCATTGTTTGTTAAACTAAGTTTATATTATGTAGAAAATTCTTAACAGGGTTTGTTATCCGTTTGCCGATAATATATTTGTCGTGTTTATAGAATAGTCAATTTTTGTATTCATACATGTTTATGGTGTATTAATTTAAACATATGCTTATGTAAAAGTTTTAGTAAAGGCATTAGTTAACCACACAATTAGGGCATATCTTTTAAAACAACCGCTGTTTTGAGTATCTTTTCTACAAAATAACCGAGTATTCTAATCTTTAAAACTAGGCGGACCTAAAGAACAATAATTTATCCACCATCTAGTCCTAAACTAAGCAGAGCTTGTACTGTGGGTAATAGATAACTAATATAAATAAATATATACAAATACAGGACTGCACGGATGGCGTAGTGGTTTAAGCGGTCACCTCGCCGCTTACTACTGGGCTAAGCATTGAGGCTCGATCCCCACATGGAACAATACTTTGTGTGAATCACAAATTGTTGTTCTGACTCTGGGTGTTCTTTGTGCCCATTTGATGTATGTTTGTGAAGTCCCCCGCGACACAGGATATGTGCCTAGTCTGGGAGTTGTCTTTAAAAAAAAAGATCATTTTTTTTAAGGTATAAGGGGGCAAACGAGCAGTAGGGTCACCTGATGGTAAGCAACTGCCGCCGCCCATAGACACCTGCAACTCAAAAGTCACAAGTGTGTTGCTGCCCTTGGAGTCCCTCCCGCTCGAGTAAGCGGGAGAGGGATTTGGATACTTTTTTGTAAATGCCAAAAGGCCGCGGGTTCGGTTCCAGTTCGATAGGTATTATCGAACTGGAATCGAACCTGCGGCCTTTTGCGACCAGTCTGTTGCACAAACCACTATGCCAACCGGTGGTCAAATAATGTAGGTAGGTATTTACATAGTCTATGTACTTAAGTTATATTATTTAAACAGGAATCATTTTTACGCAATCAGCCAGTTTAAAATGACCGTGGCCGTGGCAGTTTAAAATAACCGTGACCGTTATAAATATGTATGTATCATCGATCGCCAAAAGTTTAACATCCAGTACCTGCATTGAGTACAATATCTTGGGTTGATTAATGATATTTGCATCATTTACTGATTAGACGTATGTACACATTCCTTAGTACGTATATTCAACCTTCTGTCGTGGTGTACGGACTATGTTAGAACTTTCGTTTCTATTAACAATAAAACACTGCTACGGTATTTTTTATGGTTTGAAACCAATCTTCGGTAGATATAGAAGTTGTTTATCTACGCGTTTGCAATGTGCAAGCTGCAGAAAAAGAAGGACTTAAGATTTATCTCATCGCTTTCTGGAATAATAAGCATTGCTATCGATCTAAGTGTCGTGCAATGGGAGAGGCCTATGTCCAGCAGTTGACTGCGATAGGCTGATGATGATGAAGCATTGCTCGCAGTAGCAGCAGTATAAGATTATCTAAATTATTCGTAGATGATAGCTAGCAATAGCTAAATATGCCTAATTTCACGCCGAACATTTTGTCGACTGCCTTTCTTTGCATGACCCCCGTGGGATCCCCCACGTCTAACTAATATAATTGTAAGTTTCTTTGTATAATGAAACTTTTGTTACTCCTGTTGATACTTATATGGAAAATAAATCCTCTTAATTTAGTGAAGTTTTGAAAAATTACAACAAGTTTACTGTTTCAGATTATTCTTCGAACGAAAGTTTGATTTCTTGCCGCAAGCTGCAAATAACGTAAACTCTATGATATATTTATTATCAGCAGCTTTGAGTCCGTTCTTCGGCATTCTTATTGATAAAACAGGACGCAATATGACGTGGGTCATAATAAGTATAGTCACTACAATTGCTGCCCATAGTATAATGGCATTTACTTTCTTCAATCCATACATTGGAGTGGTAAGGCGTACTATAACACATTATAAGCTATTTTACATACTGTATCTTATAGAATACTTTTTAAATGAATAGACAGCGGAATAACGTTATTTTTTGTATTAAATTTATAATTGTTAACCATTGTAATATTCATTGTATAGTATAGTAACATATCTACTTAAAAAATAATCTTTTTCAGATTACTCTTGGAATTTCTTATTCCCTACTTGCGAGTGGTCTCTGGCCCCTAGTGGCGCTTATTGTTCCTGAAAATCAGCTGGGCACCGCATATGGAATGTAAGATTTAGTTATATTTTTGTGACAAACAGATAAAGAGACTATTTGTATATAAAAGAATCAGGGCAATTATTTGTTTTGTTTAATGCGGTAACTTTAGTATCTAACGGTTAGATTTCAATTCTATTACATTATAGTAGGGGAGCTCATAATGCTAAACGGGGATTTGCTCGAGCGTCATCGGGACCTATTGCATTTGAGAGATTAGGTAATAGAATGAATTAAAGTTATAAAATGTTTCTACTTTCAGCGGTGGATAAAGCTTCTACAGGTTTTCAAAAATGTAAGGGGCGAAATTAGAATTTTATTAAAAGTATTACTGACTTCTGTTGAAAATTATATATTAGGTCCTTACATATGAAATTGGCGTTTTGTACGGGTGGAATATAAAGTCAATTTTTTTTGTAATATATATTTAATTAATCAAAGTATGCACCGTTGTTATCTATGCACTTTTGCCATCTCATAGGTAGTTCATTGATCCCTTTACTAAAAAAACTATGGGAGCGAGAATCGATAAACTCTTTGAAGGCGGTTTGGACTGCCGCATCGGAGTTGAATTTTTTTCCTTGTAAGAAGTTCTCCAAATTCCGGAAAAAAAATGGTAATCAGTTGGAGCAAGGTCCGGGGAGTACGGTGGATCCAATTGTAGCTCATCTAACTTAGTGGTTGTTTGTTGTGCAGTGTGTGGTCTTGCGTTGTCGTGAAGCAGCAGTGGCCTAGAGCGATTGACCAATCTCGGTTGTTTAGCAGCTAGTTCTTCCTTCATGGTTTGCAGTTGCTGACAATAGATATCTGCCGTAATCGTTTGGCCAGATTTTAGAAAGCTCTAGTGAACGACACCGGCACTAGTCCACCAAACACTCACAAGTACCTTTTTGTGAGTCAATTTTCGTTTAGGACAGGATTTGGGTGGGTCTCCAGGTTTTAGCCATTGCGACGAGCGCTTCCGATTATCGTACAGTATTCACTTTTCATCACAAGTAATGATTCGATTTAAAATCCCTTCATTATTGTGTCGGTTGAGCAAAGTAACACAGCAGGGTGCTGTAATAAGCGGCGCCAAAGAAAAAAATTATGAGGAAAAAACAAATGAATGACTGTTTTCAAAACTCAAATGTACCAGCTAAATGAATTTATAAATTTTTATTTGGAATTCTTAACCAAAGAGGAGATATTTCAGATCAAAGTGGCCAGTACGACAAAACGCTAATTTCATATGTAAGGACCTAATATTAATATTTTTCAACTGGACTATTACTACTTACGGGATCTGTCAGAAAACTAAAGAATGAATATCGATGTAAACAGTGTTTAGTTAAAAGTAATCAATTAATGAAACCTAAATTAATAATTCACATATTAAAAGATAATTCGCTTTAAAAAAATCGTCTTGAAATTACTAGGTAGAAAACTTTGCGAGCTCTCCTAAAGCACCGCATTTTGTTAGTTAATTTGTATCTTTTGTTATAAAAACATATTTTATCATGTCAAATGTACTTGCATAGATTCAGAGATATTCGGTTTAGTTACATAGATAACGTAAAAAAAAGTTACCCGCGTGTTGCCAGACATGTGAACTGAGTAAAACTGTATTTACTTAGCCATAACTTAGAAATACAACATTTTGTTTACTATTTGATCTATTATATGCATTAATAGTTTAGTTTGACTTGACACACATTCGACTTTGGCAGAATTGTCGACATCGGCAGTTTTCCAAAAAAAAAACAGAATAGCATTTTGGAAATCGCCTCACCAAAATAAGAGAATTTTAGAGAAATTTTAGTTTACTTCTGTCAACAACAGAATTAACACCATTATTTATTTTAATAAACACACTAACCTAGTAAACGTGTTATATAGGCATCATCTGTTTCATGCATAGAGATAATTATGAGATTCTTATTCCAATGACGCTTTGTGCCTCAAAAGCAACTTTAAAAAAAAAGATGCAATTCAGCCTATCTCACTGATTCTGATTAACTAGGAGACATTACGATAACTATTATTGTACTACATAGATATGAAAACCCTTTTTAAGTCAGAAGTGTCTATACTTTTTTAAATTGATAATTCACAAAATCTACATGCTAATAATTTAAAATATATTATTACTTAGGTATGTTTGTTTTATACAGATGTCAAGCAGTACAAAATATGGGTCTAGCAACTGTTCTCATCTTGGCAGGAGTCATTGTTGACAAATATGGATACTTGATGTTGGAAATGTTTTTCCTAGGATGTCTATTTGGTAAGAAGAAATTAATAAATGAATTGCCATGGACCATGCATAAGCCCGCGAAATAAGTAATAAATGTTCCATTTAGTACTTATTTTACGGGCCAGTATAACTGCCTTTGTATAAACTTACGTACCATGATAGATTGTCGCTTGTTGTAACTACAACAGAACGACTGTATTCACGTAATTTTTACATTTGTGTAAAAGATTTAGCTTTCCGAACTATTTCTCTACCTATATAAACATTATACTTATCTAAATTTCACATTACGGAAAGAAGTATTTTCACATATTAAGTAATATGAACAGGAGTGAGTGCAATGAACTGAAAATATGATTTTATGTTTTCTTTTTACAATAAATCGACCATCACTACAGCTCTACAGTGAACTAATTTTGCTATGAATTACTGTTTTTTACACGCTTTTTATTAGCTTCACTTGTATGTTTGTAAACGACTCCTTTGGGCGTGATTTTGACTGACCTTAAACGGTCAGAATTCGTTCAAACTTCGTAGATATATCAAGGACCGATGACAATACACTAATTTAAAAAAAATAGTTTTAAAAAACTAAAAAACACACTTTCTATAGAAAACTAATAAATGCCTGTTGCCAACAGTAAAAAGCACCCCACGCTTTTTTTCAAATTTACCTTCTATTTTTTAGTTTGGTTTTCTATAGAAAGCGTGTTTTTTAGTTTTTTTAAAGTATAATTTAAATTACCATTATGGCAGACGAAAAAAATGTGAAAGTGTAAAGTGATTCATTATATTGTGCCCTACCAATACTAATAATTTCACACGTCATAGTCTGCAGATCAGTCAGCAGTCTGATCCATAACTAGGCAGAGCCTATGTTTCACTGCACCCCCAACGTCCCTATTTTGTTAGTTTGACAACTTATTTTTATTTTCAAGTTGCTCTTATTGCCGCCGTTCTCATAAATATCATGGACTCAGCAAACAATGGAGTGCTCAATATGTCGCCTGCAATGAGGGAATCTGTTAAAACGTAAGTCCTTGTCTTTTATTTAGACATTCCAGTTATTTCCAATTTGCCAAATAAAATCACAATGTCTCAGTGGCTATTATTTGCGGCTAGGATAAATAGCGATCTGTCCTAGCTTCAAATATCAGTTTTAGTGCGTAAGAGAGAAAGAATGAGAAAGGGACTCATCTACACCCAACACCATCTTGCAGTATCATCAACTAAACTTAAATTATGAGTTCCATCTACTCTGTCTATATCAGCAACCGTGGATACCGTAACTTTCAGTGTTTTTATTTATATTAACATAATTTCACACATTGACATTTTGTTTGTTACGGTACCTAACTAATCAGCTGATCATCGCGAAATTTACACAGGTTGTCAGGGCAAGGCTCCTTTTAACCCAGAAAAATAGGTACTGTTCCATAGGTATAGAAAAAGAACATATACACGGGCAAAGCCGCGAGCGAAAGCTAGTTTTCAAGGGCTGGCTCGACCGAAGTAATATCATGGCCTCACAGAAAACCGTGTTAAGCAATTCTTTCATTGATTTCACCGAGTGAGAGTATCGGAACCTTAAACCCCTCTCCCCTCTCTATCCTAATTCTGGGAGGGGGAGACCCAATGGGCGACAACGCACTTGTAACTCTTAGTTGTAAACTCTTAATGTAATCTTCAACTAACCTAGATAAATACAATTTTTTTTGTCATTACTGTATCATTTACAGTAACGCATTGACTACGGGAACTGACGAAACTACTAATTTATTGGACCATGAAGAATCTACAGACCAAGAGGAAGTTGACTCTAAAAGAATACCAGAATCATCATTGGAGGATCAACGTTCAATGGAATCGCGAGACATCTCTGCAGCCCAGTCTAATAGAATTCGTAGTAGATATCTGGCACAAATATTGCCCAATACTAATGTAGAAAGACAATAGAAGACATTCTGCTTTCATACCTGTAAATAATTATTAATAATATGATATATAAAAATAAATGAAATAACTGATGTATAATTTTTTACTGCAGTATTTTATACCGGTGAATTAAATAAAGTATAACATAATAAAATTACGAGTCTCTTTTCTCAATGAACAACAGTTAAATGTGTACACAAAAATGAACTTTCTCTTATATATTTTAAAGGATTAATTTTAAACCTTAAAGCAATAGTTGTAAGGCTACATAAATTTATAATATAAACTATACTATTACTGACTACTACTAATTACTTATTTATTTATTTTTTAAAGTATTTAAAATAGCTTATACATAAAATACTGTATGAGTATATTATAATTTACCAAAATAAAAATCTTTTATATTAAGACCACTTTTCTCTATGTAAGTACATACATAATTTCTAAATGTAAGCTATTATTTATATTAATGCTAATAATCACACAAGCATTTTTTATGTCACATAGCACTTAACAAACATGTCTAAACGGATGTCCGTCAAAAAGTTACATTATGTAACAAAAATGAAATGATGTGTGACCACAATTCATAGACTTCAACTTTTGATTAATGGTTTTGTGGTATAATGTTACCACAATTTCGCCAATGTCATGTATGTAAAAGACAAACTGTCAAAGGATTTTATGTAGAGCTGTAGTAGAGCCAAAGTAAATTTGAGAATGAAAAATGAAAAATAATTCTCCTACTAAAACTATCACGTTCACACAAAACCATCTAGTCCCAAACTAAGCAGAGCTTGTACTATGGGTACTAGACGACTGATAAATACATACATATTTTATATAGAAACACCTAGATTCCTTGAGCGGGAATCGAACCCACGACCTTTGGCGTAGCAGTCCGATACACAAACCACTAACACTTTCTAACGTCGAATAATTGAATGAATAAATTGGTGACTTTCACAGGCATTAATAAAACTTAAATATATATGTGCATTTAAACTACACTAAAGAAAATAAGATAAAACCACAAAAACATGAATAGATATTACACTATGATATTGGAACTATAATTTAATTGCTAACAGTTAGACACTTGCATAGTATGTCAACAATTCATGGACTGGATAAGTATCTTTAGTGACTTTCAACCTTTGGCTTATATTCTTCAAAAGCTCAAAGTAAAATTATTTAATATAGCAACCTTCTTGATGTTGAAGACATAGTGCTGAAGGTTGATGAGATGATTAGTATTTATTTCCATTTAGCAGAAGAAACAAAGTATTTCACAATGACAACAATATTTGTTTGTACCCTCCATATCAGTTCATAAAAGCTACAAATAAATGTACAATGATTGTTCGCATAGTTTTTTGTTCTGAAATTTCTAGGAATGTAATCTTAGGATTAAAGGCTAATAATAATTAGTCCTATTATTTTTGTTTAATTCTTTTATTGCTTTTTATCTTCAGTAGGCCATTCGATACCATTACCTGGCAACTTGCTATTAATGAAAGGTGAGATCCATGTTAGGTACCATCGGTTTCCAAATACTTCTATCAAATTTAGTTTCCACCCTTTGTTATAGATAAAATCTTTAGTGTTTGTGTTAGTCTCATAAACTACTCTACCTCTTAATATATTATTTAAATGATAAAAAAACAAAAACCCTGAAAAACAAGCTACTACAACATTTATAACAATAAGAAATATATAAATACCTTCATCTCTATCAAACATGAAACTAACAAGAGGAAACACAAACTTAATTACTAAGAAATAGTTAAACGTAAAAATCATTGAAATAAACTTAATATTGTAATAAAGAGCATACACCATAGCTATAAACATATAAAGAGTAAATAGCATAAAGTATCTGTGATTAAAATACCCAACACAGCATGTGAAAAATGTACAATGGTGGTCCCTTTTCAAGATGCAAACGTCACAAATATTACAATGCCAAGAACGGGGTGGTCTCAGACATTCACAAACAACACACAATGTCCAGTTATCTTTGTTATAAACTTCTAAATTTCTACATTTAATAGTGGTGTTTGTAAATATCCCATAAATCATATTTCCCACAATGTTCATAAGCAAAAAGCTGGCACATCCCATATGAACAAAGAATGCTAAACTCCATTGTTCTTCTACAGTAGGTAAAACTATGCATAGTTCAAAGTAAAGAAAAACAGGTATTAATACCAATATAATAGCAATATAAATACTGTGCTCTAAAAACCTTCTCAATCCCTTATTTTTTATTGATCTAAGAATAAGCAGCATTATACTGTTAATGGAAATAAACTAAAAATAGTTGAATAATCATCTATTCTACTATTCCACTGACTCTTGATATATACCTGAAATAAAAACACAAAAGTAAAATCAAGTATGTAGGTATTTTGTTGAGAGCACACAACTTATTACACAATTATTCTAAGGTATTTTAACATGTACTTAGAGAACCTTTTAAGCTTTATACAGCAGAAATAACATTATTAATAATAACTAGGTAATCAACGAACACTGTATACATATATCAAAACTAAATTACTAATTTATGGAAGTCACGGGTTTATTGTTGTGTATTTGTTATTAATGGATAGGCTTTTTGTAACTACACAAGATCAGCTCCTTAATACTTTCTCACTTTGAATATAATGGACAATACTATTAATCCTACTAATTTAAAGAAAGATTTTAGTATCTCACCTGAAATTCAAATATTTTAAACAGTAGGTAGTCAAAGCCAAAGAAAATGCATAAGCTACAGGTTATGTGTAATAGTAATGTAGTAACTACTACTAGAGAAAAGTAAAATAATAAACGTCAACATCATATTATCACATGTTGCCTATTTAAATAATATTGATTATCTTATCTTAGAGGTAAGAGTACTGAGAATAGTGCTAACTGATAAGATTTGACGTCTGTAAAAAAAAAAGAATGATGTACGATAAAATCGTAATCTTCGATCAAAAGAATTTTGATTGATTTAATGGCATTTATCTTTGTCTATGACGATATCACAATCACATGTGAAATCGCTGTGACTAAAAACAATCATTTCATCAAATGAATATGATTCAAAAGTAGCAAATATCTGCAGTCACCACCCCCTTTTTTTTTTTTTTTTTATTCACCCATAGGTGTCGTAAGAGCCGACTAAGGGAGCAAACTACGCAGGACTACAGAATTGCAAATTGAAACAAACCCTATACCAACCCGGCTGGCCAGCGTGATATAGTAGGCCAAAACCTCGTTCTTAAGAAGGAGAGGCTTATGTTCAGCAGTGGACTATTAAAGGCTGTTGTTGATGATGATGACTTCATGCAAGGTGATGTATATATTGCAATACCTTCCAATATAATTATAATGTAAACTACACACAACACCTTCTACACGATAACACGTTACACGATATACCTACTGCATGTAAAATTTGAAAAATGAGTTTTTAACACAGTGCCGTGTTATTGACGCGTATTATTATTTCAAGGATTATCTTATAAGATATATAAGATCATCATCTGCCTACCCTTATCTCAATTTTATTTAGGGTCGGCGCAGTATGTATGATTCTTCCATTCTACTCTATCATTCGTAAAGATATAAGGCCGGTTTAAAACCAATTAAACCAATCGGTTTAAAACGGAGAAAACCGTTTAAACAAGAAATAATCTATTTTTTTCCAGTGAGAAGCTCGCGTGGGACCGCCAGAGCTCCGCAGCGCCGGAGCCGTGACAGATATGCTGCATGCTGCATACTTGCCTGCATTCCTGCTTGTATGCTGCGTGCTTGCCTGCATGAATGGTGTATGCTTGCTTGCATGCCTCTCATAGGGAAATAAAAACCACATATGTTCACAATCAACTGTTTTATTAAGTAATAATACATGAGAAAGAAAATTAAACAATAATAATATATGCTCAAAGACGATTCTGACGATGAACTTTCGGTAATATGATGGTTCTACTTTTTAATTATGTGCATATGAAGTTAAGCATAAGCATTCAAGGTGATGTATTATGACTTATAGAATTATGAGTTTTGAATAAAAAAAAGACTATGAAAAATGAGTATGTAAATGAGTGTCTGCCAAACGATTTTCTGCGAAATGTAATTTATGCTATTCGTTGTTATGCAAAATAATATTATGACATAAAAAGTTCTGCTGTAAAGGGGGACCCTTATAAACTGTGTAAAGATATTTTACATGTGTGTGGTACTGATATTGTTATACGTAGAGGGTTTTAGTTCTAGTTGGTCCGTCCAACTAAGGTAGGTAGGTATTTCTTACCTAAGTTATAAAAACTCTATTGATAAGTTAAAAACTCTGTGTTGGTAAATAAACATTTTATAAATTGTTTTTACACAATTTAAATAATCAATTTGATTCGGTTTAAAAACACTCACTGGCGACGGCCTTAAAGACATAACGTTGTCTCTTTCATGTGCAATAAAAACGGACGGGATTGTGTTAATGATGTCTTCTAATCTAGTTAGTGTTTGTAATATAATACAATATATAAGTTTAGGTAGGTATAAGTTTTCGTGTAGTAGGTAATGTAGGTAGGTACTTTCTAATGATTTTCTATAAACTAATTAAAACGAAACATGAAGTCAGGTGACAAAAAACTGCCCACAATGAAGTGGCCCACAACACAGTTCTTTTATTTTTGTAGGCGAGTTTTCAACCATTTAAAACGATTTATTTGGGGTTTAAAACGGCAACATTTTATTAAAAATGTTAAATCGTTTGTTTTACATCTATATTCTAAGGGAACCTCGGAAAAATCCTTCGAGGGTTATGCCACGTTTTAATAAAAAAATGGTGTTAAGCAATTCTTTCGTTATTTTTCCCCGATTGAGTGAGGTTACCGGAGCAAATGAATCTCAATTAATTAGTATTCAAATAAAAAAAATAAATTGACGGATTACATTGCAGCCCGTCACCCCCTCCACCTCTTGTATCCCCTCTGACTCCCTCTTAGACGGCAAAAGTTTAGGTACAAAGTCTGGGTCCAAATTTTTGTAATTAGTAAAATATTTTTAGGGTTCTTTCGGATTTTGTTGTTAAATAAGTCTTTTTAATATGTCTAATAGTAAGATTTTAAACGGTCTTAAGATCCTAAGAAGTCGTAGGGACATGAAATACATAACGGGTCAGTACAACTTTTTACTTTTTCCAATTGGTTTGCTTACAAACTTTTTTCGATATATTTTTAACATAATATTATCTATAAGTTATTTATTATGTAATGTTTAGGTTTACAACGAAGGGCATATGCAGCAGCAGCAGCAAGTCAAGCCCATACAAAATGTAAATTGGTTAATGGAGTATATGTTGTTACCCTAGACTCTCCCAATGTAAAGGTGAGTATTTTTACCCACATATTTGCTTACTGTAGATCCACATTATAAAGACAGTTAACTTTAGGATGTTTAATATTATATATTTAATTTATACCTATATTTATTATCAAAAAAATTAACCTATTATCAGGTATGCAAATGTAAGTAGTCTCAAATATTGAGTGTTGTTAAAAACATTAAATTGGATCATTTTCTAGTAAAAAAAATATCGAAACATTTTTCACATACAAATAAGAGAAATTGGTAGACTGTATCAGATCCCTAAGACTAGAATTGAAGATCAGCTTAGTGGGAAGAGATATGATGCTAACGAGTCAATGGGACACCAGATCCTATACTTGGTATAGAAATCAAAAGGGGGTTAAAGAGAGGCTTTTGGCCATAGTAAAGTATAAATTCCTGGTGAAGAAAGAGAAGCTTTTGGATACAGTTTAGAAAATTGTTAAGTACCATTAGGCGAAGAATCTCTTCAAAGATACCGAACAAACTGGGACAAACCTGGTACTTAAATTACATAGAGAATCATTTTATATCCTTCCTACCCCAAAACACAACCCACAAAGTCCAACCAACAGATGAAGATGTTTTTGATCCACTGAAATCTTCGTGGAAGTTGGTAGTCAGAAACTTTCTATTGAAACCAAAAAACGCAAAAATAAATATTTTATTTGGAAAACGGAAATAAATATGAGAAACCACCAAAAAATACCATAATTATTATATTTGCCAACAATTATTTGTTTTCCATAGAATTTATAGTTTACTAAAAGACAAAATTAAAAAAACATTTCAAATCAATTATTTTATAGGTGTATTTATCATATAAAAATAATCGTCGCAAACCAGCTCATTGGTGGTCGTAATGTCGGTTTACGACCACCAATGAGCTGGTTTGCACTAGTTTTCACTTTTTCAGCATTTCATAATAATTTATGAAATTCATATCCAAACTAGACTATACTTGGGACCAATATTTACTAACACATTTGCATAAAGATAACATTTCATTTTCTTTTACTCATCTGAAGTGAGCAACCCAGCTAACCTGATGAATATTATTTTGTTGCAAATCATTGACTGAGAAATAATAGTAATTTAGGTCATTCCTCAAACAAGTGACTATTACCATAAGCAATACATATGGCCATCAGCATTATTATTGTTTTGCTCTAAATAAGTCACATCACATCACATCAACAGCCTTTAATAGTCCACTGCTGGACATAGGCCTCTCCTTAGAAAGAAGGTTTTGGCCTACTATACCACGCTGGCCAGACGCGTTGGTATAGGGATTGTATCAAGTTTTCCTTCTTTTTGCAGTGCTGGTGTCCTGCGTTGTTTTGCGCCCTTAGTCGCCTCTTACGACACCCACGGGATGAATTGGGGTAGTGACATTCAGTATTCTTAATCCGTCACTACACGGACATAAGTCACTTAAAATATATAAAAACAAATCACTGAAATGATATATTATGTACTATATAAATGTCGTAATGGACTTACTTCTAGCTGGAAAACAATTTTTGATTAACATACATGTGTTATAAATTATTTACCTTAATAATTTATCATATAAATCCCTACTATATGATTAAAAATGCGAAAGTAACTCTGCCTGTCTGAACAGATTTTAATGAAATTTTGGCATGGACAAACTGATTCTTGAGGAAAGACATAAGCATAGCCACAGTCTAAAGCTAGTACCATTATAAGCCATGAATGGATAATAACAGAATATAAACTTTACAGGTAAATTCATTAAATACAGCAGTTATGGAAGAAATGACAAATGTCTTAAATGAAGTAGATTCCAACCCAGCTATTGAAGCAGCAGTTTTAATATCGGGTAAACCAGGATGTTTTATTGCTGGTGCAGATATCACTATGCTTCAAGCTTGCAAGACCAAAGAGGAAGTTGTTGCTCTATCTAAAAGAGGTGTAAATTTTTCTTTTTCTTTTTGCAACCTTCTAAGAAAAATCCTATTTGGAAGTGAAGAAGTATTAAGATATACTTATTTTATGAAGTGAAAATAGATGTACATTTTTTTTAAATATAGTTGGTTGTTAAAATACTGAACACATGATTAATCATCCCTCATCTTGGTAACATTTTAGGCCACCAAATATTTCAAAGGATCGAGAAATCACACAAACCATTTGTAGCCGCTATTCAGGGTAGTTGTCTTGGAGGAGGTTTAGAGACAGCATTGGCTTGTCGTTACCGAATTGCAGTTAAAGATTCCAAGACTGGAGTTGGTCTACCAGAAGTTATGCTGGGACTTCTGCCAGGTGGTGGAGGCACACAAAGGTAAAGTATTACATTTTTAGTTGTTTTGTGACTTTAAATTGGTTTCATATGTTTATCTCAGTAGTAACACTGTCTGCAGTGATAGTTTCAGGAAATGTCTAAACAAATATAAATATAATGTATATCTCAGAGGAAACTTTGAATGAGTGAATAGTTTTAAATAGGGACCAATTAGCATAGTTTACTACAGTTTACTATATGGAGGTCCCCAAACAGTTTGATCCTCAGTGTCCATTGCCAATGTATACTATTTAGTAATTATTGTATAATAATTACTAATGAGTATACATTGGCAATGTTATAAACTTTGTTGCAATTAGATAATTATACATTTCTGAAAATTATTATGACTTGTTTCAGAATGCCTGTACTCACCTCTATACCTACAACTTTAGACCTAGCTTTGACAGGCAAGACAGTAAAAGCTGATAAAGCAAAGAAATTAGGAATTGTTGACTTGTTAGTTTCTCCTCTTGGTCCAGGTAATAATTTTTAATTGTTTGAAACATGAACAACATGAAACAACATTTATGATTCGCCAAATTCACTATTCCTGACATTGTACTGTCTGTGTACTAGCCACATTGTGGTGTTCTAAGGAATGCTGGTAATGTCTTCTATGGTGCTTATCACACAAATATTTCGTCATAGTCGTAGAGTAGTGTCGGATCTGACATTTATTGAACTTTACAGGGCAGCCATTTCAAATAATTATGTTAGTTTTTTTGACATAACTTTTTTAATTCTAAATCTGTAATTATGAAAATTAACATACAAGTGAAAAATAGGGTTTCTTCTAAAATGCAATAAAAGTAACAACTAATAATTACACAATTTTCTAGAAAAATCAAATGCGACATTTTACTTTGAGCTCGTATCAAATCCGTCAGTTCACCGACTGAATAATTTAAAATCTAAAATACATATATTTTTTTCTTAAATGTAGTAATAATATTTAGACAAGGTAGTATTCAAATATGCTAAAAACTGAATTTCGTATTTTTTTCAAAACCGACATTATTCTACGACCATGACGATTTGTCCTGGGTGGGAATCAAACCCACAACCTTTTGCTTAGCAGCTAGAATCACTAACCACTAGGCCAACAGGCCAGTCAATAAAAATAAATGTAATTGTAAATAAATACTGTTTTAGGCTTGGGAAACCCAGAACAGAATACAATGAAGTACTTAGAAAGTGTAGCAATACAAATTGCGAAAGACATCGCTTCCGGCAAAATGAAAGTCGACAGGTCTAAGAAGGGATTGATGCAAAAAATCACTGCAAGTGTAATGCAATTAGAATTTGTTAAGAATATGATATTTAAGAAAGCAAGAGAGCAAGTTATGAAGGCCTCACGTGGCCTTTACCCAGCACCGCTAAAAGTAAGAGCTAGTTACTATTTATTGTGTAATATGATTTCAGTAAATTTATCTTTACATGACAATTTTTCAAACCAAACATAATCTGTGTATCCTTAAATGAACATTTATGTGCACATAGTTATTAAGTATATGAAAACTTTTTAGATCCTCGATGTAGTAAGAACCGGTGTTGACAAGGGTCCCGCTGTAGGATATGAAGCGGAAGCCCAAGGCTTTGGTGAGTTAGCCATGACACCTCAGAGCAAAGGGCTTATTGGCCTATTCAGAGGACAGACTGAATGTAAGAAAAACAGGTTTGGGAAATCTCAAGTAGAAGTTAAATCGGTGAGTATTTAAAACTGACAGTTAGTAATTCTGTTTCCGCATTTAACTAAAGTTTTTCTATATTTTCTCATTTTCATTTCTCGTTTTCCAAACCTTCAAGGAACGCTGTAGGTAATGACATATTTGTAATTTATGTAGATACAAGTCATGAATTTAAGTTTGTTTTGATGAAACTTCAAATATATTAATCTAAATAATTGTTGCATGTTAAGGTCCCTTGATCTTGAATATATAAATTATATTATTTATTAGATTTACACAATAAATAGATTTACTACCATGAATTTAATAAAAATAACATATTTATAGCTTTACAATGTTAGCTTAATTTTTTTAGATTGGTGTTCTGGGTGCTGGTTTGATGGGAGCTGGTATTGTGCATGTGTCCATTGATAAAGGTTACCATGTCGTCATGAAAGATGCGACTAATGCTGGCCTTTACAGAGGAGTGGGACAGATCCAAACTGGGCTTGGAAATGCTGTTAAGCGAAAGAGAATTTCTGGGTAAGTTTCACACCTTGATCTATTAACTTGTTATCAAATATCCACATACCTTTTTCTATCAAGTTTCATTAAAAAAAAAAACTGTTATTAAAATATGTTTCTAGCTAAAGTTATCATCATCTGGCTTAAAGAAGTGAAGCTCAGCTCTGCACTTGTGCTGATCTTAAAAAAGTTACTGTATTTTTGCAAATAGGCACCTATATCTTTGTAAAATCTATCTATGTAATATCTATGTAAAAACCTTACTCAGATTACTTTAAGAAAAAAATGTTTTTTTTTGCTCTTAGTTGGTCTTACTAAGTTTTGATTTGAAAAGTACAAACATTAGATAAAATAAAATCGTATACCATCTTCAATTAAACCCTTCCTTTCGAGAATTTGAATGTATGTTGATGTTCTACATTAATTTAAATAAAATAATTGAGTAGTTTAGAAACTAATTTTAATATATATATTTATAATTTATAGGTGCAAATTTTCATCTGTAAAATACTTATATGTACATGTTCTAAATATATATTTTTCATTTAGTCTGCAACGAGACAAATTCTTGGCGAATTTGGTACCGACCTTAGAGTATTCTCAGTTTAAAAATGTTGATTGCGTCATCGAAGCTGTATTCGAAGACATTAATATCAAGCATAAAGTGATCAAAGAATTAGAAGCAGTTATTCCAAAACATGCTATCCTCGCTACCAATACAAGCGCCATCCCTATAACGAAGATTGCTGCAGGCAGCAGCCGTCCAGAGAAAGTTATTGGTGAGTATAGTACAAAAATTGGCATATATATATTATATACAGGTGAATTTAAATTTGCCGCCCATATTAACACAGAAAAATTTTTAGTAATCACATAGTATCACAATATGGTACAAGAATATTGAGTAATTAGCATCACAAAGTTGTCTCAAGAACTCGCAATTTGTAGACACATTGAGAATAAGTAAAAAGTACATAAATTTTTAGTGATATGTACAATAATTAATAAAAAAGCAATTAGAGGTCAACATACCACTACTGTTTTACATGTATTTTAATAAATATTCAAAATGTAGTCTTCTAGATATCTAGATTCAAAATGTAGTCTAGATCTTGTCTTACGACGTGTGCTTTGTGATATGACCACCAATGTTATGTTGGTTGTACAAACTCACACGAGTAAACAAGGCCTCGTTTGTCCACAAAATATTGGCACCGGGGTGTGCGATAAGCCACTCGCAGAATTGTCGACGAGGTAAGGCTTCTGTTTCTTGTAAGTCTTGGACTTTTTGATAACGGTAAGGGTGAAGGCAGCGGTGTTTATCGGCTTCCATACTGCATATTGGCTTACGCGGAAGCTTTGCGCTGCGGGCCCGTGTGCTTGCTTGAGGATCCCGTTAAAAGAAGTCGAAGATTTGTTCTTAACCTCTATTGCACGTCTTGATCTTGCAGTACCCCTTGCGTGTGACGGGGTTCTAAATTGTCCATAGTCCAACAGTCTCTGATTTGCTGATAAAATCGTTTGGCGGTTAGGCACGGCCGCTTTGCCCCGCATTTTAAACCTCTAATATCTGATATATATATAATAGGCGAATAGCCACCAATCCTGAAAGCTCCGTGATCATGGATTCTAATATTTTTAATAAAAAATAAAAGTTAACGTTTAGACGAACAAGATTTGCTTGGTCGGCGTGGATTTGATTGGCCGGAAATATTTTAATTAAATTATCTATTATTAAATTTATATATTTTTTTTCCGTCATCACGGATTTTGATCAATCTTATATGGAATTTTGTGTGAAATATTATGTTCAACAAGAAAAAATCCAGCCGACCAATGATTTTTAGCCGGAAAGGTCACGCATACCTATTTGAATGGTGTGATAAGGGGTAAAATTTATCCATTACCAAGGAAACCTTTTTTTTTTTAATTCACGCCTTTTAATGTCACATTTATAATTATCTTGGTATGCGTGCTTACAAACTGCCGAAAGTATAATGATCACGGAGCTTTCAGGATTGGTGGCTCCTGGACTATAATTCTCATGTCACAGTATTAGTTACCATACTCCTCCGAAACGGCTGGACCGATTTGTATGAAATTTTGTGTGCACATCGTGTGGCCTGAGAATCGGCCAACATCTATTTTTCATACCCCTAAAAGACAAGGGTGACCCACCCCTAAATATTTTTTTTAATATTTTATTGAAATAATGTATATGGCAAACCGGGTCAGCTAGTATCTTATAAAATATTCGTTTTAATGATATGGCGTAAAGAGCCATTTTAACGTGTGGAAATCCCCTCGGACCGTCACCCCACCGGGGTTCTCTGTTCAGCGGGGCGGTGTGTCGGACTCGAACCGACTAAAACCACACGGTGTGCCCAAGGCCGTCTTAGGCCACGCCGAGGCCCCTGGGCACATAAGAATTAGGGGCCCTGTTGGACAGTAAACAAAATGAATGATGAAAATATTTTTAGTTAGGATCTTTTACTTAAAATGATTTATTGGCAACAATCAAATATACCTATAATTAGAGATATTAATTAGATAGATACATTTACGAGTAAGTATAATAGATATAAATATGGGATGTTAATTAGACAAGCATCTTTAAATTGATGGTTTGAATCAGTCAGGTACAATTACGACAGTGATTTTTTTCGGGATTTCTGTTGTGCAAATTCTTCTATTATATCTTCAAAGTCAATTTTTTTGAGGATATCATTTTCTGTACACATAATTGATAAATACGTTAGTCGCTCTTGTGACGCTGATGTTCGTAATTCATTTTTTATTCGCTTTAACTTTGAAAATGAGCGCCCTCCGCTGCAATTGGTAACCATTAGGCATAGAAACCTTCTTGTAGCCACTTCAACATTTGGAAAAGTTTCTTCTAATGTGTCGGACTTTATTAAATTATGTAAGTTTGAGATACTCAAATCAGCTGATTCCTTTGATATATTCTTTAAATACTGTCTTAAATGAAAACACTCCGATTTGAGCTCATATGCATTAATGTCTTCGTGATAGAATTCTTTAAATTCATTGCATTTTTTTTGTTAACTCGTCTGAATCAATTGTTGTTAATTGTGAAAGAAAATAAAACGATCATGCATTTCTTGATACGCTACCAAACGATTTTTTAAATGTGCATATAACGTATCTATTATAGGGATAAATGTATCTATACGAAATTTTTCCTTCCCATGCAACTGCACAGTCTCTGATGATCCTTCAAAGAAAGTAACGCGTGTGCTGCGAATTCTATTCCTGTCAAATTTATCTTTATAGTCAGCATTTGGTTTTTTTCTTTAGCAGCTAATTCATATTGATCAAAACTATTGCGTGTGTTATTGACGTACTCGATGAGAGATGCGTCGATGAAAAAAAAAAAAAACCATATTTCCGTTAAAAGTATTGTATTCAATTTTTCCATTTTTTTACTAGGCTTTGCGCTTCGTTTCTTGTTTCTCCTGGTTGATTGACATCACTTACTATCGAGGACAAAGCTTCAGAAATATTTAAATAAACATTTTGTAAAGCATTCATGGCATTTGCACGTGCAGACCATCTAGTATCCGGCACAGACTTCAAGACTTTGTTGTACCTAAATGCTCTACCATAATTTTCCATCGTTTGGTCGAAGCGGAGAAGAAATTGATCAATTTTTGTATAAACTGAAAATATGCTGCAGCTTCGGAAACACAATCAATAGCTTGAACACCTACTAAATTTAGCGAGTGTGCTGCACATGCGACAAAAATGGCAAATTTGCATTTTTATTTTATTCTTGACTGAACACCAGAATACTTTCCAGCCAAATTTGATGCATTATCATTTCACTCAAATTTCACTACTGCAACTATTCTTCTAAGCACATTCTTCCAATAATTGACATCTGTATTATATTGGGATAGTAACTCACTGTCAAGTCGTCCACTAGATTTGCTTCTTGCCATTCATCATTAATTGCCTGTGCTGTAAACTATTCTCATGCTCAATTAATAAGTTACTTATATGCTTCCAATCTTTATATCCATTTGGAGAACTCAAAGTACATCCAGTACCTGTACTAGTATTAAATAGACGGCAGCACTAACAGTACACAGATTTTTTCAAAGGTGAATAAAGGAGCCATTTTCTTTCTAACGACTCGCCATTCGTCAATTTACGGGTAAAACGGTTTAGACAAATATCTAGTTTTTGCAACCGCTTGAATCTGGAAAACGTGTAGAAGTTTCGTTTCGAATTTGTTTTCTGTTACTATAACTTTATTGACTTTACTGAGTTCAAATATTTAAAAATAATAATGACTAGAGTAGTTAGTAAAATGCTAGTATAGAAAACCTCAACTATTTACGTGATTTTATTAGTCCATCTTATTCTAATTACTTTTGCCGCTTTTTTTAAATTTATCCTTGGCTATCGCAGCGTCACCCTTATTCGGTTTTTACGGATACGTTATGGCAATGCCACATTTTCTGACACATTTGGTAATATCATTGGCAGAGGCGGCCTTTGGGGGCTCACGCATGCAGGGGCTTCGCGCACTCGCGACCCCAGTAGAAAAATAAGTATATTTGAATTTCGCGCTTTACGCATCGCATTCTAAAACTCACGTCACGCTTCTCGCGCTCTTTTGCGTGGTACTTAAATATTAAGGTGTTTACGATTTACGTTCAGGGATTCCCCGTGTTTAATTTCGCCTGTAACATTGTAGAAACTGTCGTCGGCATATGCTTTTATGTGCTAGCAGCAGTATGTGTTGCGATGCAATTTTTTTGTTTAATGTATGATCATTAAAACTAATTCCCGGGGCCCGGGGCCTCGCAATGGCTAGGGCCGTTACTGATCATTGGCTTGTCAGTGCTTAGAGTTGCCATAAAGTTGCTAAAAGGCCCATTTACTTTATGTTCGGATAATATCGATATGAATATTTAACGTGCTATGTATTTGCTTTTTGGAGGCTCCTTGACGATGGAGGCCCTGGGCAGGGGCCCCGTGTGCCCTTATGGTAAAGACGGTACAGGGTGGGCCCTCTTTGCGCTTCTATTTTAGGGGAGGTCCAGGTAGTTATCACCTTCTGGACCCCTCCCAGCGCCGGCCCACTCCTGGTGCGGGCTCCGTCTCAAATCATCCTCTCTTTAGGCGACGTCCGGCACACGCGGGCGCCGCCCCCTCGCGGCTGGCCAAACTAATGCGGGTGGAGGGGAAAACCAGTCCCGTCCACCCGCGGCCACACTCAGGGCGGCACGAGGCGCAGGTGAGCGCGCCTCCGCTGCCCGGTTCGCCGGCGGCGGATCGGGTCCGAGTGGAGGTCGTCCTCCCGGGCCTTCTCCGCCGCCTCCTTCTGCGAGATTACTTCCTCGCAGAAGGTTGCGACCGCGGTAAAACGACTGTCGCTACCGGCCATGGAGAGTACTACGGCCGGTAGCGAGAGATCCAATCCGATGACTGCAGTGAGGGCCCGGCGCTGCGTCGCCCATGCGGGGCAGACTGCTAGCGTATGCTGGGTCGAGTCCTCACTGCAGTGGTGGCAGGCGGGACTCAATTGCCGCCCTGCCCACTCAGGGTTGATAGACCTATTCCATCGTAGACTTCTTTGTAGATCTTTTTAAGATATACAATTCCTAGTACATTATTTTGGTCTATCTCGTAAGGATTACCCAGCGTTTGTAATGTAAGCGCGCAAAACCATGTTTTAAGACAAATCTTTCAAATTCCCGGATTTTCTCTACTATAACATGCATGTATTATACATATAAACCTTTCTCTTGAATAACTTTCTCTATAGGTGAAAATCATTTTTTTCCAATATAAATGTATAAAACAAAAGGTTCAGTAGCTTGTTTTTACTTTGAGGTAGCCTTGATAGTCAAAGGCGTTTATCTTTACTTATATTCTCCTAAAAACGAATTACTTCTTTTAGTCTATAGGCTGTAAGTGATTTATATTAAAACATTAAATATAACATATCATGGTTGTTCTTACACCAGGCATGCATTACTTCTCCCCTGTGGATAAGATGCAGCTGCTGGAGATCATCCGCCACCCTGGCACCAGTGACGACACGGCCGCAGCCGCCGTAGCGGTTGGCTTGAAACAAGGCAAAGTTGTAATCACCGTCGGTGACGGACCTGGATTCTACACCACTAGGATTCTGTCCACTATGCTTAGCGAGGCTGTCAGGTAAACTAACGCTAGGAGTTTTTGAACAATATTTTCCAACTTATGTTTATTTAGGTAGTTTGGTCAACGAGTTTGTTATGTCACTGGCACTGACAATTTATGTCAAAATATTGCATATTTATGATTGCTTGCTGCTCCTTGTGGTGTTATCCGCAATTTGTCAAATATATTTCAATTCCTTGCTCATCCCACGGGAACACTGCAATTTTTTGTGACTAATAGTATTATGTGTTAATCGACGGTGTCCAGCCGGTTGAGCATTAAGAAGTAACAAACACACAAACATACACTCACAAACTTTTTATAAGATTAGTATAATTAGTATTCCGCCGCGGCTTTGCACGGATAGCAGAGTAGGTACATATACATAAATTTGTCATTATTGTGTGTTTATCTCAGATGATGACATAGCATTGCATTGCTTTATTGTAATAGATTTTTTATGAGAACGAAACCCGCAATTGATGGATTAAGAATACAGAGTGTCACCACCCCTATTCATCCCGTGGGTGTCGTAAGAGGCAACCAAGGGAGCGAACTACGCAGGACAACAGTACTGCAGAGAGAAGGCAAACTTGAGACAAACCCTATACCAACCCGTCTGCCAGCGTGATACAGTAGGCCAAAACCTCCTTTCTAAGGAGAGGCCTATTTCCAGGAGTGGACTGTTAAAGGCTGTTGATGTGTGATGTGACACGGCGTGGGCCAATAAACCTCAGTACGCATTATCCTTCCTATCGACATCATATTTCATGAAATTTATACCAAATCTGAATTAATTACGCACCTTATTAGCCTACCTTATGAATTACTCTATCCATTGGTGAAAACCATAAAAAAACTCATTTGGTACTTTAGTTAGGCAGACGGACGAGGCTTACAACTTCATTTTATAACTAGCTTCTGCCCGCCACTTCTTCCGCATGAAATAGTTATTTTGGGCTAACGCTAACTTTAACCCTCGACGTCGTTTACGTAGAAAGTAATAATATTTTAAATAATACCTACGTTGAGCTATTTCCGTTTACGCAGCGCACGCAACGGAAGTTCTCAAAAGAAAAAAAACGATATTGAAACATGCTTCATTGGTGCTCCGCTCCTATAGGTCTTAGCGTGATGATATATAGCCTATAGCCTTTCTCGATAAATGGGCTATCTAACACTGAAAGATTTTTCAAATCCGACCAGCAGTTCCTGAGATTAGCGCGTTCAAGCAAAAAAACAAACAAACTCTTCAGCTTTTGATATTAGTAAAGATATGTGATATCATGACATGACATCATGTGCATGTGAAGATATATATATATAATCTTTTCACTGAATGACAATTGTGAGAACTTGTTATTTTTAAATTTTAATATACACACATTTTCCACACATACCTCACAATCAAATAACATTTTAAAAAAATCAACTGAACTCAGTAATAAACTGTTAAATGTACACACTTTCAAATGTTAAAATGAAAAATAAAACTATAATTATACTGGCGCAAACAAAATAGCCCCCTTTTTTTCTTTTTTTTTTTTCCGTGCGGAAATCCCCTCGGATACCACCTGTCGGTGGCATGTCGGACTCGAACCGACTAAAACCGCACGCCTTCTCGGGTACTAATAGCCGGGGAACCAGGTATACCCTAGAAAGGAAGTCCCTGGTGCCCCGACATACCTCGGGTCATCTACAGACGAGTAGACGACCCCCCCGTGTGGGAACCCCATGTTCCCTGTGCTCCCTAGAGGCGAGCGCGCTTCGCAACGCGCTCGCCGCCACCCCGGCCTGCTTCTGCTAGGGTGACAGATGGCCTCACCTGTCACCCCCAGGCCTGCGCTTATGGAGGACGGAGGTCGTTCTGCGACCTCCGGCGCCTGAGTCGCCTGCGGTACCTGGCCCGTTCCCGGGCCTGAAGCAAAATGGCCCCCGCGAAACAAAAAACATATCTGCTATTTAAACGAACATTTCCGATTACTCCCGAAAACTGCCGAACTTCAGTATCCTGCAGCTGGAGGCGGGGAAATAAAATAAATGGGTGTGTGCATTTGCGAACTGTGCACGGACACCAAAATTACTACACACATGAGAACAAATTTCCTGCGGCATGGTACGGCTTGAGTTGGTTGGTAGGTACAGCGCCGCTTGCTTGTCTCCAAACGCCTCGCAAACATAATGTTTGTGTGCTTTCAAATCTAAAACGTACGAACGTTTTATTAAAATGTCTGTGAATAGCAAGTAAAGCACTGCATTTCTGCCTACAAGGAGCGCACGCCCCTGTTACAAAGAATAAAAACAAAATAATTATTCCTATTCCATTACCATTATCTAACTCCAACTAAACTACTATATGAAAAAACTAAATTACTGAATCTCAGACAACTTTACATCTATTATACTTGCATTTTAGTTAAAAAGATTACTAACAATGCCTTCAAACTGACATACAATTACACAAAAAATAATCACACATATTATAGGAAATATAAATAAAATACAACTAACGAAAGTACGAGCTAACTACGGAAAAACAATATAGGAGGGAGCACAGCTGTAGAATAGACTGCCGCAAGAATTAAAGGATTGTGATTTTTTAAATGCATTTAAAATGTATGTATATTGTAGAATCCAATACGTTAGAAGGCAAATATTGTATAAGTCATAAGTTAATTACTATGTATCTCATTATAAGTGAACTAACTGTAAGTTCTTATGAGAATAAAAATTATTTAAACCCAAATAGATGATGAAATTTAGATTTGCCGCTAGAACTAACTCATTCTTGGCAGGAAGACTGCTGAGATGGATTTCCTTCATGTCTCTCTCTACACATGTAGTGACATTAGTATACTTACGAACCTCACACCGCTTTTTCAGGTTGCTCCAAGAAGGTGTGGATCCTAAAGACCTTGACAACATGACCAAGCAGTTTGGTTTCCCAGTGGGAGCCGCCACATTAGCCGATGAAGTCGGTATTGATGTCGGCTCACATATCGCGGTTGACCTGTCAAAGGTACGATGACTCATCATTTCCCATTCAAAATAAAAACTTAAGTTCGTGATCTTTTAAATTCATTATTATTTCAGGCCTTTGGTGACCGTATCAGTGGAGGTGACTTGAACATCATGAAGGACTTAGTTAAAGCCGGATTTATGGGAAGAAAGTCGGGCAAAGGTTTCTATGTTTATGAGAAAGGCACTAAGAACAGGGATGTGAACCAGGACGCAATAAACATTTTAAAGGAACGGTACTCGTTACAACCCCTGGGAGCTAATACTGTTGAAGATCAACAATTACGAATGGTTTCTAGGTAAGATTTTACTATTTTGTCTTCTTCTAGCAGGATTACTATCCTACTAGAGATTAACAGTTATGTTTGTTGACGTGAAGTACTTCAGAGGGCAAATTCTCGTAATAAAAGTTCGGTCCTCAATTCAGATCTGATCAACTTTCGATCTCACAACTGTCATAAAAGGTATTTTCACTAGCGGATATCCAGCGTAAGCGGTTGAGGAACGTATGCGTTGCGTTGTCGTGGCAACGGCGCTGCTACGCTAGTGTGAAGGTGCCCTTAAATATACTAATTTATAATATTGGTTCGTTCGTACAGTATGAGTGGTTCTTATAATTGTTTCAACACAATATATTATTGTCCAATTCATTGTAATATGAGTGAAAAGTGACAAATGGGGCTCTCAGGAATGAGTTTAACTCTTTAAAAATAAATCCATCAAATGCAGGGTCATTGATAAAACTAAAAATAAAAGCTGCCATTATAAAAAAATATTTAATTTTGTTGTAGATTTGTCAATGAAGCAGTTTTGTCTTTAGAGGAGAAGATTCTGCACAGCCCCCTAGAAGGTGATGTTGGTGCAGTATTCGGTCTCGGTTTCCCACCATTCACTGGCGGACCTTTCAGGTAAAAAGAAGTTTTTGTTTGTTTATGAGTTCAATATGATGATTTTAGTATGTAAATCAATATTTTTAAGTAAAATACCATATGGAATAATTTAAGTCGTAGTTACAGGTACGGGCACCGATCTTGAGCGCTGACCTTCACCTGCGCAGAAGTCGATTTTTGTGTCCCTTTTGTGGTATGAAGTAGGAGAGACGACAATTTAATCATAACGTCAGCCAGTGATTGCCTGCGTCGTTGCGTACGTCGCTGCTCCTGATTCGTTTTCTCGTACTTAAGTACGACGAGTACACTTCCGAGCAAATTAATAGGGTCTTTCTTTTTTTATTAATCATTTCTACTTTCGCTATTCATCAATTTAATTTTCTGGTAGTTAAAAATTGAGATTTTTATGCGAGTGTATTAGATAGCGTAATTTATTCTCTAATATGTACCTATAACACAATACGAAGATGAAGAAATGGACACCGTACCACTATCAGCTTAAAATAAGAACGTGAATTGATGGAAGCTGTCACTCCTATTTCACCCTAATAATTTTATAAAGAAAATATTTTTTAAACAAAATTAATACTGACGTATTTTTATTGAAATTTTAATTAAAACAATTTTTCTTACCATAGAATCAATAAGAAGTTAGTAGTAACTTTACCACGTAACGTCTTATGGTTTTGATCTATTTTGATTCTATTCTAAGCAAAAATAAATAATAATATGCGATGCCATAAGAGCGAACCCCACTCTTCCGCCGAGCGCTCAAGATCCCGTGCCGGTAACTACACTACAAGGTCTTTTCGTTTCCAGATGGGTCGACCAATTCGGTGCTGATAAGTTAGTAAAGAAAATGGAAGAATTCCAGGGCTTGTACGGTGCGCCTTTCAAACCTGCGCAGACTCTCGTGGACATGGCTAATGACACCAGCAAGAAATTTTACAAGAACTGAACACCCAATTATGTAACGACTACATACATACCTTCTGAATGCCAAACCTGATAAAACTTGATTGAGACCTGAACTTTGGCTGCACACAGTAGTCTCATCTTTGTATGATATTTATTTGTGAGATTGTATTTGTCGCCGTATGTACGAGGAGCAGTCATGATTATGCGCAATCATCTAGCAATTTGTGTTTTGTTGTGTGAATATTTATGAATCATTTTGGATAGTTTTGTAGGTACTCTAAGATTAAGTGAATTTCACATAATTATGTTAAGAACATAAACGATTGAAACTAAGTTTAATGAATGTGCTGTTAGAAGTTTCGAAAATAAATGTTACTGCCTTTCATAATCATATTATTATAGAAAGATGTTAACTAAATAAATTATTTTATATCACATATTAGTCTTTTCTTTAACCTATTTGCTTATTTTATTGGTACAGTTACAATAAGCTGTTCATTTGATTGTATGATATTGTTCATTTCAATTTAGTATAAACATAACAATGTATGTATCACTGTTTATGCTTATCAAGAAGCATAGCAGAAGCACATTAAACTGAAAGTAATTACTACGAACATACACATGTTAATAACTAATATCGTCAGGGAAGTTCTCACATTGCGGGGGCATTAAGTTGGTGTACTCCTTTACTTACAGGAGACCGTATAACATCAACCAAGTGAACAGTTACATGCAATAGAGAAGATTTAAAGGCTTAAAAAGTTAAAAAAAAATAGAATAAATTTTTTAAATTATTAGAAAAACTTGTTGAAATATAAATAAAAATACAATTTGTTTCATGTAGATGTCATTTGTTTATCCTTTATAGCGTCATTTTGAAAATTGCGTGTCTTTATTACTGGATCGTGAACATTTTCGTGCTATGATTTATTACGATTTTCGGCGAGGGCTAACTCAAAAACACTGCATTGGTCAACACACTTCGACTTTTCGGGACGAAGATCCAACAAAAACAACTGTGTTTCACTGGTTTAGTGAGTTTAGTCGAGGGCGGTCTTGGCTCACGGACGAATTTAAAGGTCGCCCTAAATCGGTTGTTGTACCTCAAAATATTGAGGTACGCTGTGCGGGAACTAATAATGCAAAATCGTCATGTTACATATCGCGAGATAGAGGCCTCTCTGGGAATAAGTATGACGAGTATATATAAAAGAATACACGGACATTTAGCTGTAAAAAAAATTGTTCACGATCCCGCACAACTTGAGAATCGATCATAAACGGGCTTGTGTCGATTGGTGTAAAAAAATGTTACAAAAGTACAATCAGGGTGCGTCAAAAGCTGTCTATACTATCTACACAGGTGATGAATCTTGAATATATGCGTATGATCCTGAAACTAAACAACAATCAACGGTTTGGTAGTTCCAAGATGAGCCTAACCCAACAAAAGTCATTCGTTCAAAAAGTACTTTAAAGCAAATGGTCACTTGTTTTTTGGTATAAATGTACATGTTACTACAGTACCACTAGAGGATCGTAAAACGGTTAATTCCGAATGGTAAACAATCATTTGTTTGCCAGTTTGTTTGTCTTTGAATAAATAAGAAAGAATAACCGAAAACGCAGAATCCTTCTTCATCGTGACAACGCTAGCTGCCACAGATCGGCCGAAACAACTCAGTATTTGGAAAATCAAAAGATCGAATTAACGGGTCATCCGCCGTACAACCGTGACTTGACCCCCAACGACTTCTATTTATTAACAACCGTGAAAATAAATTACGTGATCAACGTTTTTCGAGCCGTGAAGATGTTGTTGATGCGTTCAAAATGCACGTTTTTGAGATGCCACAATCACAATGGAAAAAATGCTATGAAAATTGGTTCCAACACTTCCAACGTATATAAAAGTGCATCGATCATGATTGTGAATATTTTGAAAAGCAATAAAACTATAGTTAATTGTATATACAACATATGTTTGTTTCACTTTGTTATTCCCGATACATAAATAGCAGCCCTCGTACATTACATTAAAGATTTTAAGCATTTCTTGTATTTAGACAAACATAGGTATAAATATAGATCGGTCGTTATGGCTAACATGTTATATTGCCTACAAACATGGATATTGAACTTCAGCGCTTGGTCGAGTTGAACTTCAAGTCCACGAATACTTCCCTGCTTCTTAATTTCAATACATTCTATAAAGTATTTGTTGTCTAACATTTTTTTATTCCCTGTGAACTGAATGTAGTGACGCTTAGTGACGTTTAAAAACATTTTGTTTAGTTTACACCAGTTAAAAAGTCGGTCAGGACACATTGGTCTTCTTAAAGCATTTTAGAGCCCAAGTTGCTCTGTATTAGCTTTATTATCTTTAAGTCATCAGCAAACAAGTAAAACCTTCGGTTATATTGTTTATAAAAACGTTGAAAAGAATCGGACCCAAATGAGGTCCTTGCGGAATTCCTGACGTCAGGTCGCTAGACAGCTTTCAGAGAAGTGACCGTTAATTACCACTTTTGACTTTGTTTACCAGATAATATTGAAACCACCCTATCAAGGTTCCTCCTACGCCTAGTTGGGCCAATTTAATAATAAGTAGGTAGTGATCTACTTTATGACATGCTTTGCTAATATCGCTGTAGATGGCATCTACCGGAGTACGACTGTCCAAACGCTTAGACAAATCTGATGTAAAACATAAGAGGTATACATAACACGAACGAAACCATGCTGTTGTTCAGCAATGTGTGGTTCTAGGTACAACATCAGAAGTTTGCTTACAAGTTTTTCGACCAAATGTCGTCAATATTGAGATTGGTCTATGATTAGCCGCTAGATACTTTTCCCCTGATTTAAATATAAGTTTTACAAGAGCTTGTTTACAGGTGCCAGGAAAGATTTAGTAAATATTGTTTGTGTAGTAATAGGGGTGATGCTAAAGCTTTTGCACAGCGTTTTAGGAATAAAGGAGGATACCGAAATACCATCACTGTCTGCGCCCTTAGTTTTGTAGAGGAACGGGTGTCATGTCCCTCCAAAACTCCGTAGTTCGGTGTCTTCATTAGATGGCGTTGTAGTATGTTTCTGTTTTTTGTATGTGGGAGTCGCCACAGTTTCATCTAAGCCTACAAGTTCGCTGTATATGTCCTTGCTTTCAAACTGTAGATTACAATATGCTGCAGACTAGTAGGCGTGACGGCTTGAGAAGTGGTCGCCTGACTTATCGTCAGAGGTATTTAAGGTACTAGCTAATTTGTTTTATAGTGAAACGCACCAATTAATTTTACTCTTTATTTCTTGGTTATAATAAAGGTTTATACTTTTAATTTTTATCACTGGAAAACACTAAATTCAGTTAATACTACTGCGCGGGGGAAAACTCCTTGTCAAACCTCTTTGACACTCCCTGTCATTACTTTTTGACTGACACTCTATATACCACACTAGCGAAATTATTTCTAAACGTGTTACAAATTTTCTTTCCTTTAAGGGTTTTTGTTGTGACGTTTTCTATATTTGTAATATAAGTCTTGTATCATGCTGAATTTAAAACCTTGCATTCATCCCGTACTTTCTCAAGACCCACTTGGTCTAGTGGATTTTTGCAATTTTTAAAACGGAGTGGTATTTGTATTTTTCGTAGAGTTCTAAGAAGTCGTATCCTTTCACAGTTAGTATTGGCTGGTGTTATCATAGATATAAATTCACTTATGGTTTGTCTTAACAGGTTCACAGTTTCTGACTACTATCTACTTCTACTTTCTTTCTACTATCCCACTCAATTACCAACAAATGATGTAAAACTATCTCATAATCTGGTCTCGGTTTTGGTACCATTCTAGCTTCTATAAAAAGTTTCCTCGTAGATCGAATTAAAGCGGGGGTCTAAAGGGTTGATAAAGTATAGGTACATCGGGCGATATCTGTGATGGAGGTATTACACAATATTCAATCTAATATTTTAGATTTTTTGTTTAAGATAATGTTGTACTGATTTAGGCCAATTAAGATCATAAACTCTGACAGTATCGTCTTTATATTTGAGTATGATGTAGGTATACATGTTGTCAGTGATATAGAAAAGGACGTATCTGTTATCCAAAATAAAAGTATTGTTCCCGAAAAATAACTCTGACAGTCGCCCGCTCTGACCTCGCCCGCTCGCCGCTTCCTACTTCGCTGAGTGTTGTACGTTCGATTCCCGCATGGGACAACACTTTGTATCATCCACAAATTGTTGTTATGCGTCAAGACTCATGTGTTCTTTGTGTCCGTTTCATATGTGTCTGTAAAGTCCCCCGCGACACGAGATATGTTCTAGTGTGGCAGTTCTCTTTATAAAAAAAAACTTATTTACGAGAAAAGCCGCGGTCAGAACCTTGTGTCATAAAATTTAATGTGTGAATGAATAAAGATTATTATTATTAATTGTGTATTTACGTAACGTACGAAAATGGCGGATATGATGCTGATGGATTTAGGGAAAGAGGGACAATGGGAGTCAGTGGGAAATGGTGGTCAACGTTCTAACATCTAAACGAAAACACATAAAGAAACGAGTATTGTCTTAAAAGATTCGTTTGGTGTTTTTTGTGCGCTTGTTAGCCTAAATGATCGTTTAAGAAATCTTTTTTTTTGTGTTTTAATGACAAAAATATTTTTCTTTTAATTTCTTACATATTATGAACTTATAAGTCAAGGCCACTCTATGAGGGATGCTGCTAAAGCCATGTTTATACCATTTTCAAGTTTCCAACAGCAGTCAAAACATAAATATTTATCGGAACGACACCTAGGTCGACTGACTTCATACTGACTGACTGACCTGCATTCATAGCAGAGATAGAAAAAGTTCTAGCAGACCGGATAAAATAAATATCTTAAGCTCTTTGAGAAATCACAGCAAGTAAGTAGGTCAGCATATCATTATGCCGAAGTGTTTCAAATTTCACACAATTTTGCCTGCAATGCTAAGATACAAGATCCTGTTAAATATTTGCTGCCAAGGATTCACCAAAATTAGAT